TGACAACCAAATGGTGTATATTTTTTCCTCACTTAACAGAAATTCAGAAGCTGGAACAGAACCTTAGAAATACTAACAGGCACACAGTTCTGCTAACCTTAGTGTGTGTTCATGTCATCCTCATAACCTCGAGATGGCTCTACCGTTCAGTGTTGCAGACAAGGAGAAAGGAGGAGGGGTAAAGGACCACGGGCTTCTATCAGCGGAATCCTGTGCCTTTTCTATCAGGAGTGGATAGCTTCCTTGGAAGCCCCTCCCAGTAATGTATGCCTTCCTCTCATTGGGCAGAACTGTTTCATGCTTCCTCAAGCTGCAAAGGACAGGAAAGTGGAGTTTTTAGCTTGGCACATACTTCCCAGTAAAATTGGGATTCTGTTCATAAGAAGAGGGGGGGAATGGATACTGGGCCAGCACCCACAGATCATACCAGTGATGATTGTAGTAGTTTTTAGAAAGAGATCCATGTCCTGTTCTTCAATGTATAAAACTCAGTTTAACTCCACAAATACTGAGTACTTTCTGTAGGCCAGGCACAGTAATTACTGAAAGAATATCTGTGGTAATAGAATAACCACTGCCTCAAGGTGATCACAACCTAAGTAGAAAGAGATACAGAAATAGGTATAGGTATACCTTGTTTTGCTGCGCTTCAATTTATTACGTTTCATAGATGTTGCATTTTTTACAAATTGAAGGCAAGCCCTTCCAGCAGCAAAAATATTATGATTCACTTTATTGCAAATAAACTGCACTGAACTCACAATATCTCTAAGGTTTTCCTGTATACAGCTAACTCTAATAAAGTTTAATAAATACTGAAGTTATAATAATAGAAAAAGATCTTTGGTAAAATAATATATTTGAAATCTACCTTAGAGAGTAAAGATAACTCACATCACATCCTGTCTACTCCTAAGGGCAGAAATCTGTGATTGGAAAGCTATGTAAATTGGAGGAACATGCAGGAAAGCAAAAAAAAAAAAAAAAAAAAAAAATGTTGAATTACCTTTGATTGTATTTATTGGAGCAGCTTTTATATTATTTTTGCTGTTCCCAAGTTTTATTTATTTTCTTTTTGATCTCAAATTGTCCATTGTCATGATAGATAGGTAGATTTTTGAAGATTTCGATCTTAAAGCATGGCTGTGTTCATAAATGTTACCCTCCTGCCTAACTTCTTTGCCTCCAGTCAGCTCCTCCCCCATGCTGCTCCCCACCCAGCCCAAGAACTTATGCTGAGAGATTTAAAGATTAGGAGCTTCCTTACCATCCCCACCCCTGGTAGGTCTGATAGAATTAGAAAGATTCCTGGAATAACTTTTTCAGCCCTGAAAATTGGCAAACAACTCCACCCTTTTCTAGACACCTGTGAGTCACAAGAGCTGCCCATTTGCCTCCAGCATGAGAAGGCAGTACTAGCAGGATCCATAATTAGTGGTCCTGTTATATACATTTAAGCTCCCTGGAATAAAGTTCTCATTAAAATATGTAAGCCTGTTGTTCATCTTTCACACACTGAACAGTTTTTAGGATTCCAGGAGCCCCAGGATCATTGCTTCTGGGTGGAACCTTGTCACTGGGTGACCTGCTGTCTCTCACTCATTCCAGAGTCCCACTCACCCTGGAATTCATTTGTTTGTTCCCAGGAGACCCTAGTAGGTTTAGGTGAAGTTCTTGTTTTGAATGTGTGCACGCAAAAGTTTATTATTAGGTAAAAGGCTGTGGCTTGACTAATGATAAACTTCCCCAGCTAGATAAGTTATAGAACAGAGCACACAGTGACTGGGTTGTGTAATTTCCATCCAGCTCCACCCTCTGCTCCTGACTCTTAATGCTGCACCGGGCTTCAGGGAGCACAGCATATGGTGGAATTTTTTTCAAAGCATTCGTTTAATTTTATCTTTTATTGTTTAGGAATGACAGAAACTTTCCCTTTTTACTCCCTACACTGTCATATCAGGAAATGTAAGTATTTGCCACAAGACAAAGTAAAATTTAGTCTCAATGATGAAAAATCCATGACAACCCTCAAACACGTTTTCATATGAAGGGCCATTGAAATTTCAAGTTGCTACCACTGACCTTTCAGTCACTGAGCTCTTTATAGTTTGTAAGAATTAAAGCAATTTCTGCTGCTTTGGGGGTATTAAAAATGTGGGATAGTGCATAGAATTGTTTACAACCAAAATTTTTATTTCAGTAGTTACAAAATGTGAAAAATGCCCTATATTCAATATAAAAGCAGAAATGTGTTTTTGCCTTATATTGGACTCTTATTTCCCTCTTTTTCTTACATATCACATGCAGTTTTCTTCTTAAAGTTGTGAACTTTGGGAGGATGATTGAACTTGCTGAATTTTTCTTAATTAAAAAAATTTTTAAGCTGCATTGGAAAATAATTTACCCACCACAGTTTGCCATTTTTAAAGTATACAATTCAATAGCTTTATTATATATATTCAAAGTTGTACAGCCATCACTACAATCTAATTTTAAAACATTTTTATCACCCCCAAAAGAAACTTCATGTCCAAGTCATTCCGCATTGGTCCTATCCCTAGCCCTAAGCAACCACTACCTCTGTCTCTGTAGATTTGCCTATTCTGGATATGTGACTGTATTATTTTCCTAGTGTTTGTATAACAGATCACCACAAATTGGGTTGCAAAATTTGCTTTCCTACAGTTCTGGAGGTGAGATGTCCAAAATCAAGAGATTTACAGGGTTTGTTCCTGCTGGGGGCTCAGAGGGAAAATGTCTTTTAGGCCTCTCGTCTAGCCTCATTCCTTGGCTTGTAGATGCATCACTACAATCTGTCTCCATCTTCACATGCTGTTCTCCATGTGTGTCTTCATATGGCCTTATAAGGACACCAGTCATTGGTTTAGAACCCTTCCTGATCCAGTAAGGTCTCATCTCAACTTATTTCATTGGCAAGGACCCTATTTCCAAATAAGGTCACATTCTGAGGTTCTAGTAGGTATGAATCTGGGGGGGAGGGGGGATTATTCAACCCAGGACAGTGGCCTTTTGTGTTTGATTCTTTCACTTAGCGTAATTTTTCAAGGTTCATTCATGTTGTAGCATGTATCAGAACCTCATTCCTCTTTTATAGCCAATAATACTCTTTTGTATGGACATACCACATTTTATTCATCCCTTCATCATTTGCTGGACATTTGGGTTGTTTCCACATTTTAGTTATTAGGAATATGCTGCTATGAAAATTCGTGTATAAGTTTTTGTGTGGATGTATGTTTTCATTTCTCTTGCGTTGGACTTGTTTAACTTTTACATCTGTCAATTATGATGGACATATTTATGTCAACTGTGGTAATGGCTATTAGTTATCAAAATTCTTGTTCATTTTCTGCCTCTCGAATTTGCTTTGCATTTCAGTGACTGTTCAGTAAGTCAACTTTGGAGAATTAAGTTTTGTGGGAAATAGGCTTTCTTTCCTTTCAGTTCAATTTTAAACCTGTTGACATTTGAAAGAAAGCTAGCTAGTCTTTCATTTGCTAACCTCTGGTCACTGGCTGATTTGTGCCCTGCCTTGTTTTTATAATAAGTAACATTTGATTTTTTAAATTATTTTGAAAGTATTTTCTCATGGTGTTATCATGTAACCTTCCTTGCAATCCTGTGGGATCTAAGGCTCTCTTTTCTGACTGCTAAACTTGGGATCCAGTTGAATTACTTTCAGAAGACAACTGGAGCATAACTGTGACACAGAGGATGTCCCTCATCCCTCAGTACCACATATCTGTTTCTATGTGCTCTTTTCTCCAGGTGCAGAGAACATGTTAACCACCAGGGAGGGCTCAGTAGCCTAGACCAGTTGTCTTCAAACTCCAGCCTCCCTCAGAGTCACCTGGCGGGCTTGTTGAAGTGCAGATTGCTGGGTCCCACTAAAAGTTTTTGATTCAGTAGGTCTGGGGAGGGGCCTGAAAATGCATTTCTAACCAGGTCCCCACTGACGCTGATACTGCTGGTGCCAGCATCACATTTTCAGAATCATAGGCCTAGACAGCCAAATGTAGTTATCATTTTGGGTCGCCTTCAACCAGGCTATCTTAAAATGTAATATGCATATGTATAACCTGGAGATACCTTTAACTGGTCCTGATTCAGTAGGCCTGAGGAGGCTTCAGAGATTATCTCTAGCCAACTCTCAGGTGATGCCAAAGCTGCTTTGAGTAACAGGGTTTGGAAGAGCAGCCATATGCTGTTCTCTGCGTGGGTAGTGCTTTGTTTTTGCAAACTAATAACGTGACATGAAATAAACTTGCCAGCTTTAAGCAGGTGAACAGTATATACTTTATAACAGGTAGAGGAACTCTGCAAGTCATGTGGTTATTCTGGGAAACCACAGAGGCCAGCATGGTCCAATTAGACTGAAAGAGTAAATGGTTCAGACTTGTGGCATGATACATGGAGTATATTAAAGTTTTCCAGTGTGAGCTTTTAAATGTATGTTTCTAGGTTCTGAAATGAATGTTTTATAGGTCCTGTGATTAACCAGAATAGATTTTTATAGGAATTCTAAATTCATTATTTAATTTAATTTATTTTTTTGGTTGGGTTTTTTTGTTTGATTTTTTTTTAATCTTCAGATGGAGTGGGGGAAAGAGAGAGAGAATCAATGTGAGAAAGACACATTGATTGGTTGCCTCCCGAATGACCCTGACCCTGACCAGGGCGGGGATCGAACCTGCAACCCAGGTATGTGCCCTTGACCAGAAATCGGAACCATAGCCCTTTGGTCCAAGGCCCCATACTCTAACCGCTGAACCAAACCGGCTAGGGCTAAATTCATTCCTTTAAAATAATGGAGTTACTTTTTGTTTTCCATTTTTTCAGCTTCTTGACAAATTAATGTTGACTTGATTGTATTAACTTTAGGGCTTTAGTCTGCATATTTTATACTTATTACTTAGAAGGTTTATTGAAAGCAAAATAAACATTCCATGAAATTAATTTTTAACTTATTCTTTTGGCAGATCACTGACAACCTTGGGGTTGGTTATCTCATCTCTGGCTGACCAGGCAGCTGGCAAGGGTAAAAACAAATTTGTGCCTTATCGAGATTCAGTCCTCACTTGGCTTCTTAAGGTAATTCAGCATTCAGGTGTTCTTTTCCAACTAAAAATTGGCTGTGTCAGAGGTGACAGCTGAAAGGTGTGTGCAAAGCTAAATATGAGATGAATACCCAACAATACTGTACTGTTATCCCAATTCCTAGGAACACAGAATGAAAACTCATTTTCATTGCCTTTTATTTCATTATAATGGTTTGATGGATACTATTCATTGTTGTGAATAGAGAGAGGACACATTTTATCTTATAATAAATTATCTGTGAAATACAAACCCATTTCACATAGCATGTTCTTCACAGGGAGTAATATCATAGGTGCTTTCATCATACATGTTGTGCATGAAATGGGCCTCATTTCCTAAGACGCTATTGGAAATATTTTGCAGGACAATTTGGGAGGCAACAGCCAGACCTCTATGATAGCCACCATTAGCCCAGCAGCAGATAACTATGAAGAGACCCTCTCCACCTTACGATATGCAGATCGAGCCAAAAGGATCGTGAACCATGCTATTGTGAATGAGGATCCCAATGCCAAAGTCATCCGGGAACTGCGGGAGGAAGTCGAGAAACTGAGAGAGCAGCTCTCGCAGGCCGAGGTAATGTACAGGATGGGAATATTAGCAGTAATGTCTATGTATGGTGACAGGTGGGTACGAGGCTGATTGTGGTGATCACTGTATAAGGTATGTAAGTGTCTAATCACCATGTTGTACATCTGAAACCAGTATAATATTGTAAGTCAACTATAATTTAAAAAAATACAAAATCAGCCTGGTGCTCCTGTTTTTGAAGTTTCTGGCTTGTGATACCTGAGTGGTAAGGACATGCTTGCTTGCAGTTCCAGGTCATCTCTGCGTGGCTGAACATGTCAGTGTTGATTGGTGTGTGCTACATGCATTGTGAAGACACCATGAGTGATACAAGATCTCTGTCCTAGGACCTTACAGTTAAGCAAGCAGGCAATTAAGAGGGAGCAGCTACCAATGCCTAATTGTTTGTGCTCCAGTAAATCAATTAATCCTTGAGAGCACCGATCTCTTCCGCTGTGAAATCCTAAGAACCAATCATGGTGTTTTTACTAACATTATAGACCGTATTCCCAAAGGGCTCTGCAGTTTTCAGAGAAGTTAGTTGTGTGTCATCTCCTCCTTAAGTCATGGAAGATAACATGATCAAGGATAATTGACTATTAGGAATAATTCAGAAATACATATATATATTTTTTATTTTTTTTATCCTCACTTGAGGACATTTTTGCATTTATCTTCAGATAGAGTGGGAGAGAGAGAGGGAAGAAGAGAGAGAGAGAGGGAAACATTGATGTGAGAGAGACACATCGACTGGCTGCTACCCACACAACCCCAACTGGGAGCTGGGGACAAACTGCAACCGAGGTACGCGCCCCTGGTGGGAACCGAACCCTGGACTCTCTAGTCCTCAAGCCGGTGCTCCAACCGCTGAGACAAACTGGCCAGGGCCAGAAATACATATTTTTAATATTTATATCAGCTCCTGGGAGGAAACAAAATCTATAATTTTGCATCGTTGCCATCTTTCCTCGGCTTTACACAAACTTTAATAATCACATCCTCTTCCAAATAGCTGTTGCTTTAGGCGAGTTACCAGGCAAGGCATTGTCCCATTTGAAATAGGTAACGTGACTGAGATGGAACCAAAGTTCCTTAGGTTAAGTGACATGTCTCCACGTGCCAGGACCTCGGTGTGTACCTAAGGCTTCTGAGTTCACATTCCTTCACACCACTCTCTTCTGAGGGTTGGGACAGTATTAAGGGTAGGGAAAAATAATGTAATCACCATTATTTATTGAGCACTTGTGTACCAGGCACTGTTTAAATGTTTTTTATCTATTGGCTTATCTAATCACAAAAGTAATCAACAGGAGATAAAACAAAACAAGGAAGAATAAAGCCAGAGATCTGAATATTCCATTAATTGATGATCCCAGCAGTTGCATTATAATTTTTTGTTTACGTATCTTTCTCTTCTTTCAGGCTGTGAGCTCCTGTAGTTGAAGAAGCTATGCTTTGTTACGTTTTTAATTCCTAACCCCTAGTACAACACTGATCCTGGAAGGCACTTAGCACAATGCCTTGCACATCATAAGTGCTCAATAAATGCTGATGTTTTTATTATCATTATCATTACCAGTTAGTGCATCCAGTATATATATATTTTTTATTGATGCTAAGAAGGGTAGCAAACATCTGAAAAGTCAAAATGCTGGTAACCTTTGGAGAGAGTCCTGATTCTGGGAGGAAAGTGTCATGCATCTGGAAGTCATTTGAAGGTGGATGATCTACTCCTTTCCGGTTGTCTCTGAATCTGCAGTTTCACTGTGACCATGTGATCTGGGCCTGCTGGATACAACAGTACCTGGCCAATGGAGAGGAGCCACAGCAGGCTCACCTAGAATTTTCATGTCCCCAGCACTAAATGTCACTCTCAAGCTCTATTAATACTGAGACTGAGGCATACCCAGCTAGCCTCCAGATCATCACCACTTTAGCTTCTGGTCCAAGCTCTACCATCTTTCTTTCTTTCTTTTTAAAAAAAATTTTTATTGACTTTTTTAGAGAGAGAAGATGGGAGAGAGAGCTAGAAACATCGATGTGAGAAATATACATCGATCAGCTGCCCCCTGCCCACCCCTCACTGGGAATCGAATGGGACCTCAGTCCATGGGACGATGCTCAGTCCACTGAGCCACACCGGCTGGGCCATCTTTCTTGTTCATAGGGTTATAGTTATGTTATTGTAGGAAGTCAAAGAATATTGTTTCAAGTAAAGGCTTCCAAAGATTTACAAGCTGCATATGTCTGTATTTAGACCCCTTAGTTATTCTTACTGAACAAACTCAGGGAAATTACTGCTCTTTTAGCTGACTTTCAAATGAATAATACATTTACTGTTTATTCCATCAATAAGAAAAGTAAAGTGCCCGATTCGAATTGCAAAATAAACGAGAAGAACCTTCACCTTTCCTGGTAGGTGAATGTAGCTGGAATGCCTTTATTGGCGATGTGCCTTGATCCCTCTCTTATTGAAAAAGAGATCTGCTTCAGTAACCTTTTTTCTTACTTTCTGTTTTGAAGATGAACTTTAGCATCTTTTAAGTCTTTAATGTGAAATTTAAGTATGATGGGTAAAATTACTCTGTAATGATGTGTATCAATTTAATTCAGTGCACTAGTATTTCTTTTTCTCCTTTAAATAATAGCAGTCATTTGCCTCTTACATTTCATTTGATTAATAAAGGTCTAAACCCCACCCTGACAGTGTGTGACTTAATTGCTTCCAACAGACTGTTGATAACTGCTTAAGGAGGACAATAAGTGATTGTCTTGTTAAAATCAGATAGCTCTGGTTTCATTTTAAAGGCTATGAAGGCTCCCGAACTGAAAGAGAAGCTTGAAGAGTCTGAAAAGCTGATAAAAGAATTAACAGTGACTTGGGAAGAGAAGCTGAGGAAAACAGAAGAAATCGCTCAGGTAGTTGGGTAATTTAGGCCCAAAATATTGCGATTCTTTTTTTTTTTTTTAACTTATCTTTATTGTTGAATGTATTACAGATGTTCCCCCTTTTTTCCCCCCATTGACCCCCTCCTCCCTAATCCCGCCCCACCTCCTGCCTTCCCAACACTATTGTCGGTGTCCATTGGTTATGCATATATACATAGAAGTTCTTTGGTTTTATCTCATCCCACCCTCCCTCCCCCTTCCTTCGAGGTTCGTCAGTCTAACAACCAATTTGTACTTCTTTTTTTTTTTTTTATCCTCACCCGAGGACATTTTTCCATTTTTTGTTCAGGTAGAGTGGGAGGGAGAGAGAGGAACAGAGAGAGAGAGAGAAACATCGATGTGAAAGGAACACATCGAGTGGCTGCCACCCGCACAACCGACCAGGGCCGGGGACAAACTGCAACCGAGGTACATGCCCTTAGCGGGAACCGAACCCGGGTCTCTCAGGACCGCAGGCCGACGCTCTAACCACTGAGCCAAACCGGCCAGGGCCAATTTGTACTTCTTAATTCCTTCATCTTTTCCACCCATCCCCCCAGTGTCCTCCCATCTGGCAAGCAACAAAAAGTTCTCTATCTGTGAGTCTGTTTCTGTTCTGCTTGCTCATTTTGTTTGTAGATTCAATTGTTGATAGGTATGTGTTAATTGCCATTTTATTGTTCATATTTTTGTTCTTCTCCTTCAAGAAGACCCTTCAACATTTCATATAATACTGGTTTGGTGGTGATGAACTCCTTTAGCTTTTTCTTGTCTGGGAAACTCTTGATATGTCCATCGATTCTAAATGATAGCTTTTCAGGATAGAGTAATCTTGGTTGTAGGTCGTTGCTTTTCATCACCTTGAATATCTCTTGCCACTCCTTTCTGGCCTGCAAAGTTTCTTTTGAGAAATCAACTGACAGTCGTATGGGAGCTCCTTTGTAGGTAATAAACTGCTTCTCTCTTGCTGCTTTTAAGCTTCTCTCTTTGTATTTAACTTTTGGCATTTTAATGATGATGTGTCTTGATGTGGACCTCTTTGGGTTCATCTTGTTTGGGACTCTCTGTGCTTCCTGGACTTGTATGTTGGGGAAGTTTTCTGTCATTATGTTTTCAAATAGGTTTTCAATTTCTTGCTCTCTCTCTTCTCCTGAAGCACCCGTATGATGTGAATGTTGGCACGCTTGAAGTTGTCCCAGAGGCTCCTTACACAATCTTCATTTTTTTTAACTGTTTTTTCTTTTGCTGTTCTGATTGGGTGTGTTTTTCTTCCTTATATTCCAACTCAATGATTTGCTTCTTGGCTCACCTACTCTACTATTTTTTTTTTTATCCTCACCCGAGGACATTTTTTGCATTTATCTTCAGATAGAGCAGGAGGGGGAAAGGGAGGAAGAGCGAGAGAGACACATCAACTGATTGCCACCAACATGACCCCAACCAGGGCCAGGGACAAACTGCAACCGAGGTTCGTGCCCTTAGCAGGAACTGAACCCGGGTCTCTCTGGTCCATGGGCTGACGCTCTAACCACTGAGCAAAACCAGCCAGGGCACTACTCTACTATAGATTGTCTGTAAATAATTCTTTATTTAAGTTAGTGCATCCTTCATTTCTGACTGGTCCTTTTTTATGTTGTTGATGTTCTCACTAAGTTCCTAGAGCATCCTGTTAACCATGTTTTGAACTCTTTATCTGATTGATTGCTTATCTCCAATTTGTTTATTTCTTTTCCTGGAGTTTTGTTCTTTTCTTTCAATTGGAAAGTTTCTTTGTCTCCTCATTTTGGCTGCTTCCCTGTATTTGTTTCTATATATTAGAGAGAGTTGCTATGTCTCTTAGGCTTCATAGGGCGACCTATTACTTTAGGTGTTCTATAGGATCCAGTGGCACAACCTCTCTGATCACCCCAGCTGTGCCCTCAAGGTACACTCCTAGTGTGAACTATGCACTCTTCACTCTTCTGTTGTAGTTGAGTCTTGGTTGCTGTTGGCACATCAATGGGAGGGATTTACTCAGGCTTACCTGCTGCAAGGACTGGCTGTGCCCACTGACCACTGACTATCTTGGAGGATCAGCTGTGCAGGGGCCCGCCACACAGAGCAAGATTTACTTCATCAGGGCTCTGGTACCCACTGAGTCCACTCCTTGAGTGTGTTACTTGTGGAAGTGAATGGGTGGTGGTGCTATGTGGTCTGAAGCCATCCACTGAATGTGCTGGCTCTGGGGCAAAGTCAGTCACTGCCTGTATTTTACCTGGGACCACCAGGCATAAGCTACAGAGTGATCTGCCACTGGCTGCCTCTTGTGCAGGGTTTGGAGGTGCCCAGGAAAAGCCAAGTTGTGAACCAAGGCTGGCTGCTTCTAGTGCCAGGCCTGGGGCCACTTAACGAGAGGTATGGGGCTCTCTGAGACCAGATGCTGCTTGTTTGAGAGATTTTAGGAAAATATGAAGGAGGAACCAAGACAGGCCAATCCTATGATAAAGCCATTGGAAACAGCTTGGGTGGGCCCGAGAGTTGGGTGGAGCAGAGCCTCAGGGAATCACCAGGGTGGGACAAACAGTGTGAGCCAGGTTGCTGGATTCCCAGATATGGCAGCGGTCTGCCTGCCCTGTGGGGGAAGGGCTCACCGAAGGAACAGTGGCCTCTGCCAGCACATCTGTCTGGAAGAAAGCTGCCCCTCCAAGATCTCGCCCCAATGCCAAACAACTCAGTTCTTCACTGTATGTCTCTGGTGCCTTTCAAGCTACTTCCCCAACTCTGGAGCCTGGAAGGAACAAGTCCGAGTAAGTCTATAGGCGGGCCCTTGAAGAGGATCTGCCTGGAACTCCAGGAGCCAGAAGTTATGGGGACTTCTCTTCCTGGCACTGGAACGCTGAGCTGGGTGCCTGGTGTGGAAGGGGGACCCCTTACTCCTCAGGGAGGACCTTCCCAGCTGAGGTGTCCCTCCTGATTTTTATCCACCACACATGGGTGTGGGACAGCCTGTCCACATCTCTGTCCCTCCTACCAGTCTCGGTGTGGCTTCTTTAATTTCATAGTTGTAGGACTTCCATTCAGCTCGACTTCAGAAGGTTCTGAAGGATGGTGGTTCTGTAGTTTAGTTGTAATTTTGATGTGGTTGTGGGAGGAGGCAGTACTGCGTTTACCTATGCCACCATCTTGACCAGAAGTCCTAAAATATTGTGATTCTTCTTCATGTGATGTCTTTTCTGCATTGTCAGTCACTTGTCATTCTTAAAGTCTTCTGACCCTCCTTGTGCTGAACTACAGACTGCAGAGATCAGTTAGACACTGGCTTTGTGTCTTTTGCCAACTATATTTGGGTCCATATATTTTCTAGAAGTGTTGGATAGCATTGAATTTGAACATGGGTGGTATAGGAAATAACTTTAATATTTCTTGCTTTTCACATTTAAACAAAAATCTGTTGTGATTTTAGATCACTTGGCATAGCATGTGGCTACCTGACTGAAAGATAATTTGTAACATATAGAACATCCTAGTTTATTCAATGTATGTGATTCTTTGGGCTTGATGGAAAATGCTATCTGAACTTTACTTGAGATAAAATATAAAGCAAGGACTAATTCTGCATGTGTGTGTGATTATGTGTCTTATGAATCTCTACACTGAGCATTTCATAAACATTTTAAGGTCAGTGACCACTTGGAAATATTAGACTATCCCAATAAAGTAGCTTGAAAGCAGTACCGGGACCTAGCCCAGTGGTTTGCTTGTGTTTCATATAGATATTCTCCCTCTCTCTGTCTTTGTCTCTCTCTTTTTCTTTCTCTCACATGCACACACCCCTAACTTCGTATCCCTCTTACATTGCTTTATGGTTTTCCTTAGCACTTAACCCCATTGGAAATTATATATATTTACTTATCTGTTTTTTTAGTCTATCTTGTTCCACTAGAATATAAGTTTTCATGAAAGGGGGGACTCTGTTATGTTTTCTGTAGTATTTTTAGCCCTACATCAGTACCTAGTACATAAATGTCATGAATGAATGAATGAATTCAAGGTTCTCTGCAATAGAGACCCAGTTTGCTTTTTCAGCCCCATCTCCCACTACTTTCTCATATTTATTAGGGGTTCTTGGCACCTGAAATCCTTCAGTATTCCTAGAGTTTACTCTGCTTTCCTTCAGAATACTCTGCCCTTATCTTGCTGTTCCTCCATTTCTTCCTGTTGAAATTCGTCTTATGCTTTAAGAACCACCTTAAGTGTATTCTCTTCCTGAAGCCTTTCTAGTCTCTTAACCCATCATGACCTCCCTCCTGCGAAGCCCACAACTTGTTGTTCCTCTCCAGAGGTACAGGGCTTTCCTCTTTTTACTCCAGTTATATGGTCTTCCCCCTCTACTAGATGGGAAGCCCCTTCAGGGCAAGGTGGTGTCTGGTTCACCATTGGTGCACCCAGAACACGGATGCAAGATGCCACACATTTTAGGCTGTAAGTAAACTTGGTTAAGCCGAGTGGAATGTATGATTTCATTGGCATTGTCCCCAGAAATAGCGACTTAGACTTTCCATGGATACATCCGGTGAATAGAAAAACAAATAGAGTTTCCTGCTTTGGTCTGCTTTGTGCACAGGAGAGACAACGACAACTTGAAAGTATGGGGATTTCCCTGGAGACATCCGGTATCAAGGTGGGGGATGACCAGTGCTACTTAGTCAACCTGAATGCAGACCCTGCTCTCAATGAACTTCTGGTTTACTATTTAAAGGTAAGAGGCTATATAAATACGTAGTTGCAATCCTGATTTATTCATGTATGATTTGCCATTGAATCTGGTTATCTGTCCCCATGATTTTACTTTTCATAAAGAGGATTCATAATACAGTCAGGTCATTATTGAGAATGAAAACCAGCTATTTTGTATTGTCCTGAGACTGTGCAGTTGGGGCTGATTTCCTGTGAGCATGAGCATCAGAGGGGCAGAGGGAGGCCGCGGAGGGTGTCAAGGTGATCACGGGCTATAGAGACAAGGATTCTGACAATATTTAGATTCAATTATAAAGATCCTGAGAAGCTCTAGGGATTCACAGTTATATTTCTGAGAAATTCTAAGGAGAGCTCAAGATCACCATAGGCTAAAACAAAATCCTGTGGTAGATTAGACAACCAGGGTTCTTCCATATCCATTTCTTCTAGACATATATCCTCAGAAAATGACTTTTGGTCTTATAATCACCCATTTAGTATGGAGATGGGATGGGGCCTTTTGAATTTGGCACGTTGACCTCAAGGTATGCCACTGACTTTCGGAGAGCTTACTGCATTCATTCTCAAACTTTCACAGCCCATTTACACTCTTTAAAAATGTATAAAGGACCCTGGCCAGTGTGGCTCTGTTGAGCATCGTCCCGTGCACCAAAAGGTCGCCAGTTTAATTCCCGGTCAGGGCACATACCCAGGGGTCACATGCAGGAGGCAACCAACTGATGTTTCTCCCTCACATCAATGTTTCTCTCTCTCTCTCTCCCTTCTTTTCTTTTTGAAATCAATACAAACGTTTTTTTAAAATGTATCGAGGACTCCAAAGATCTTTTGTGTATCCAAGTTATATATATCTATAATAGGTGCTAAAGCTGAGACCATTTGAAAATACAAACATGTACAAATATACAGTCCATTAATCTTCAAAGCCACAGTATCTCACATCATGTAGCCTCTGGAAAAACACTGTATACTTGTGATAAAATGAGAGCACAAAGGCAAATAACATCTTAGTATTTTTATTAGAGTAGTTTTGATCTCATGAGCCTCTTGGATGGTCGTCAGAGACCTCACAGGTTCTCAGAACATACTTTAAAAAATCCTGGCAGATTTTGTTAAGGGAAAAATAAGACATGTGTTTGAAATAGGGCACTCCAAATGACATACGGCACTCAGCTGACCACGAGGCCATTTTTCATCATACACAAACAATTTCTGGTGGTATATAAATATATGTATTTAAATACTGTCAAGGATTGAGGAGCTAGGGACTTGAAGGCAGCTTATATATACTGTTCACACACACATATCCCTAAATAAGGAGAAGTTACCCCCTTGTGAAGGCACTTTGTTAAGGATTCTCATCTTCCTGGTGAATATGCAAAATGCAATGGAGAATAAGCTAGAATTGAAGCAAGGAGTTCAGTCTTCTATCCTTTTTATTTTGCTTTTCCAGAGACATAATATGGCAGGAAGAATACCTGACTTGTTGAGAGTCCACTAACACTATGGACCTGTTCATTCAGGAAATGATTAAGGGGAAAGGAATTGTTTCTGAAATCTTAATTTTGAAAGACCAGCCCTTACGCTTTCTCAAGGGAATAGAAAGTATTGTAATCATAACGGTTAAATGATTTTTAGAGCGAAAGAAAAAGCTAAGTGGATGAGCAGTGGACTGAATCACCAGGGGTCACAGTCCATGTGTGTGAGGTTTGAGGTCCTAAACATCACACTAAAGTGAACATTGTATAACTGACAGGCTTCACTACTCTATTAATATTAGCATTAGCTACTCAACTATTTTTAACATTTTAAAATTTATGTGTTTTAAAGTGTAACCTTCAATGAAACTACTCTAAGTGGTTCTTGCATTTATATAGTTGTTTTCAAAGCATTTTCACTGTTAACTCAGGTGATGTTTAAAAAGAATACTGTTAAATAAATCAAATTGATATTATTGCCCTGGTTTTGCAAAAAAAGAAACCGAGGCTCAGTAAAATGGCTTGCCTGTGGTCACACATGTAGTAAGTTGTAAAGTTAAAATTGGAACTCAAGGGATTCTTTTGTCAAGTGCAATTTCCTTATATTTTAAAGCAGTATCTAGTCACTGCTGGTCAGCTCTCCTCCCTATCCTGTTTTAACATTTAAAAATAATTTAGTGTGTTAAAGTAAGCTTTTGACTTACAGTGTTCCAGATATCTTGCATCTCCTGTCTGATTCATTTAATATTGTCATGCATGTGCTATTGGGTTATTGAAATTGATTGTGATACATTTTTGTTAGGTTACTTGTGTGTGTTTTCACTTTCATTAACACTGTGTTCCTAGGAGCATACGAGGGTGGGGGCAGATACCTCTCAGGACATCCAGCTCTTTGGTATAGGAATTCAGCCTGAGCACTGTGAGATTGACATTGCATCCGATGGCGATGTCACTCTTACTCCAAAAGAAAATGCAAGGTAAGAGAAGTAAATGGTACTTAACATTCTCGTGTGCCTTATTTTCAGAAGGGGAAGACTGCCCCTTTCTATCTTTTTGCTTCAGTTATATCAAAATTAAAGCAACAGTGGGTCCTCCGGGATTGCTTTCCAATTCTAGAGACCTAGATAGTAGCATTTCCCACAGCAGCTCTGGGCAGGCTGATTCTGCCTTAACTGACTGGGCGAATTTGGAGAGCATACTTGGTTTATCTAAACTTCAATTTCCTCTTATGGTAAGTGAGGCTAATGGTAGACGAAACCTGTAAATCACTTGGCTCAGTGCCGTGACACAAAATAAATATTAAATAAAATTAGTTGTTACTCCTTTTAACCATTGTTTATTTATTTGTTGTTAATCCTCATGTAAGGATGTTTTTTCCGTTGATTTTTAGAGAGCATGGAAGGGAGGGAGAGGAAGGGGGAGAGAGAGAGAGAAAGAAACATCAGTGTGAGAGAGACACATCTATTGGTTGCCTCCTGAACATACCCTGACTGGGCCAGTGATCAAACATGCAACCCAGCTAGTTGCCCTTGAGCAGGAATCAAACCCACAACCCTTTGATGTGTGGGCCAATACTCTAACCACTGAGCACACAGGCGAGGGCCTCAGTTTAACCATTGTGTAAACAGCAGTTAATCAGATACCTCCATTGTTTTGAAAAATTACTACACCAGGCTATAATATGTAAAATGTAAAAATTTGAGAATTGACAGGATTATATGTTTACTTTTTAATTTCTACTAAATGATGTTTTAAATTACTTAATAATCAGGCATGATATTAAATGAAGTTCTGTGATGGTATTTATTAACAAACAAATACTGTAATTTAGAACACTCATTTTTTTATGAAGAAAATTTTTTACTCATTTCAAATTATTCTGTTAATATTGGCCATATAAATTTCTAAGTGATTAAAAACTGAGACCAATAATAATAGCATACCTGATGCGTGAAAGTTTATAGATTTTTATTATAGTGATATGATTTTTTAAATATTTAATAGTATGATGATATTATTCCTTAATTTTACTTAATCCAAATTCTAATAGTCTTTAGCCTTATACTGTATCCTCCTCTACTAGAGGCTCTGGATTTATTTTAATTCTCACCTAAGGATATGTTTTTATTGATTTTTAGAGAGAGAGGAGGGGAGAGAGAGAAACATTGTTCAGTGGCCTCCTGAACATGCCCTGAATGGGGACCAAACCGCAACCTAGGTATGTGCCCTGACCGGAAATTGAAGTTTTTGGTGTATGGATGATGCTCCAGCCAAATGAGCCACCCTGTCAGGGCTGGATTATTTTTAATACTCTCTCTCTCTCTCTGGCTTTATTTAAATATAATTAATAAATAAAATTGTATATATTTACAGTGTGCAACATGCTGGTTTGATTATATTCTCTTCTAACACTATATCTAAAAATGATTTTAATCAGCAAATTTTTTTCTTACCCAATTTTAATTCCAATTCCATGCCTTTTTGTCCTACTCTCCTTTTTTCTCCCCAGCCTGCCCAGTCTCCCCCTTTCCTGGAACCCCAGGATAGCCGTTCATTCATTCGGTATACTTTACTCCAGGCTCTGTGCTGGGAATGCCCAAGTACGGGAACTCAAAGCCTGGTGGAGGAGAATGTGTAGAAGCAACATTTTACAGGAAGCATTATACAGGAAGATAAGTGCTTTTTCTAAAGTGATCTTTATAACCTACAAATCTGATCACTGTGGAAATGTGGGGTGTTGATAGGACAGGAAGTGGGGAGATCAGTTAGGATATTTATTATAATATTGTTATGGGAACACAGCAAGTGGCAGTAGAGTTGAAGAACAACATGTATTCGAGAATTACTTCAAAATCAGCAAGTTGTAGTGATCTGCTTAGGGACATAATGGAGACTCCGTTAGTGAAGGAAAAAGAAAGTCAGCAATGATTACAGGTGTTTATCTTTGGAGACTAGATAAACAGTGGTGCTGCTAAATCAAAATAAGGAATACAAGAGGGGAAACCGGTTTGGAAGATGGTAAGTCTGAGTGGTAGTGAGTCAGTTTGGGATACTTCGAAATGTCCTTGGGATGTCGATGTGGAAAGACATGGAGATAAGGATGTCGATGTGTAGTATCCAGTAGGACCTTGAATTTAGGGCTGTAAAGCTACACTAAAGATAGAGAACTTGGCGTGAGCAGTGTTGCCTCTCTTGAAAGTGGATGGAGCATGTGTAGAGTAAGAATTAAACCAATGTTTTTGGGGTGGTCTGAGGATAGTCCATGGAGGAAGTTGAGATAAGGGAGCCAGTAGAAGTCACAGCAGGATACAGTCATGGAAGGTAAAGGAAGAGAAAATTTTAAGGAAAGAGAGATCAAAATAGAAGCTAAAAAGATTCTATTGGATATAGAAATTATAATGACACCAGCAACCTTGGGGCGTTTAGGCATCACATAGTTCTGGGTATGGAAGGAAAAATGCAAAAAAAAGAGAATGGTAGGTAAGGAAGTGGGTCAAGAGTCTTAGTTGTGAAGGAGGAAATGGGAATGAGGACATAGCAAGAGAGGGACAGGGGTTAAAGGACTGTCATTATTTCTTCAAATACGTCCTCAAGTCCACTGATTCTCTCTATAGTCCTGTCTTACCTGCTACTTAATCATTCTATTGAGATCTTAATTTTAGTGTCTCTATGTTTCATTTATACAAGTTCTGAAGGTCCATTTTCAGATATGTTCTCTATTGGTAGTCTTGTTTTTACTCCACTGTGTGCCATTAATGATTTTATTTTCAAGTCTTTTATTGTCTTTGAGAAATCTGTTCTTTGAAGTTGTTGGGGCCTCTGTCTGTTTGTTGTATCTGCTGATAAGTTTGCTTCCTAAAGTGGTTTGTGATTTCTTAGATGTATCATCTTCAGCAGTTTCTCTGTAGGAGCCTGGTGGCCTGGGTGAGGGTTACATAAATTTCTGCAAAGAGGTTTCATATTTGCTTTTTTCCAAGCACCCCAAGCATGTGTTCACCTAGAAATTACTTTGGATGCTAATTTCTTGGCTTAGGTACAGTACCAAACCAGGCAGTTTCCATAACTTTTTCTTTTTTATATTATTGTATGAGAGCATACTCTAAATGGCAAAGTGATATGTTTATATGCGTGTTCGGGGGGCGGGGGGGTGTGCGTGTGTGTGTACACCTAGACAGGGCCCTCTAAAGATAGAAATGATCACAAAAGTTAGCAATATGTAAGAGAGGCAAAAGCCTGTTGTATTCCCCTCATTTACTCTGAAACTGCTTTTAGTTTCACTCTAGTGTAACACTACCCATTAGAACTTTCTGAGATAATGGAAAGGTTTTATAACTGCTAAGACCACTTTGGTGGCCACTAGTAAAATGGTGCTCTTGAGCATTGAAATATGGCTAGTGAGAATGAGGAACTGAATTTTTAAAGTTATAATTCTGAGTTTAAATAATAAAGGACACAGAGTGACATATTTCTGTTATTGGTTGTATTGCTATTTCTAGATTTTCTGAAGGGCTCTTTAGATGCCTGAGGAAACAAATTTTCCTTGAAAAGTGACTAATGAGTGTTTGTTTTTTAGGTAGAAAAGTATTCCATAAAACTTTTCAAAAACAAAAAACTTCATTTCATCATTCTTTGGCAAAAACGTGTGCATGTATATGTATACATATGTTCATATGTATAGACATATGTATATATTTGGATCTCATATTTTAGTTTTGCAGATGAATAAATCAGTCCATAATTCCAAGTAAATGGGACACAAACTTTTTTTTTATCCTCACCCGAGGACATTTTTTCAGTTTTTGTTCAGATAGTGTGGAAGGGGGAGAGAGGAAGAGAGAGAGAGAGAAACATCAACGTGAAAGGGACACATTGAGTGGCTGCCACCCGCACGACCCAACCAGGGCCGGGGACAAACTGCAACCAAGGTACGTGCCCTTAGTGGGAACCAAACCCGGGTCTCTCTGGACTGCAGGCCAATGCTCTAACTGCTGAGCAAACCCGGCCAGGGCGGGACACAAACTTTTTAAGCTTTATTTACAATGATGAGAGTCGTTTTGATTGGCAGGAATAAAGGGAACATGTAAGTGTAAAACACACACCAAAGTTTTATCATGTTTGTATATGACAGATTACAAAGATTTAAGACAGTATTTCCAGAGTATTTTTATGAATAAAACCGTAGCCACTTGATTTGAGATGTTACTACAAAAGAGTGATTATTTCCATATGTCAGTTCTACTTCTTCCATAACTCTGCTATAGAGTCCTGTGACTATTAGGAGCCAGATAATGATATTATATATTATATATTATATGAGAAAAGTAACTTATTGAAAAATGAAAACTCAAAATAATATTCATTATTTTTCTCCATCAAAATTCACCTGACTGTTATTTAGTAAATTAAATTTTAATTAATTATCCTGCTTATTTTTGTGTTTTTGTTTGTTTTGTTTTGGTACATGCTCCCTAGTGGGAACCAAACCTGGGACTCTCTGGTCCTCAGGCCAACGCTCCAACCACTGAGCCAAACAGGCCAGGGCTGTTTTGTTTTAAAATACCAGCAAAATCTCTTTTTTAAGTAAAGGAACTTTTATGAAAAGACCAAATTTTTTAGCACTAACAATTCTGGAAGACTTTTCCGTTCCTTCTAAAAATGGTCACAGTGACTATGCTTGAACCGTGCCGAGGACCAGTTGATGAGATCTGACATGAAAGCTTTCTCGGTGGGTTATTCAGGCTGCTGACCTCACAGCCCCTGACAGCCCCTGACAGCCGGTAGCTGTAGGCAAGTAGGCAAGGTGCACTGTAGGAAACTGCACTGCTGGGAGACCACCTGCGACAGACAGTCCACGGGGCCCAGTCGCTTCTTCAAGGTTCGTTTCAGACAAATCTCGGACGCACAGGCTGACACAGGCCCAGAGACAGGGTACACACCATTTATGGTGTGATTACAAAGAGGGTCAGAATTGCATGCCCCCACCCCCAATTATTAGTTATGCTTTACAAAATGTTTGGTTGCTATTTGGGATTTAAACATGGTATTCTTTTTATCTTTTCCTCGTTTTTATTATGGAAAATTTCAAAGATATAAAAGTGGAAAGAATGGTATAATGAACCCCTGTATATCTTTAATCCAGCTTCAAAATGAGCACCTCATAGACAATTTTGTTGTATTGACATGCCCTCCACATCTCCTCCTCCTTCCACTCTGGGTTATTTTAAAGCAAATTCCAGATATTATAACTTTGCATCCACGGATATCTCAGCTTATATCTCTAAAAGACAAATATTCTTAAACATAACTTTAATACCATCACACCTAAAATAACTAACAGTAATTTCTTACTAATCATTATATATTCAATCAGTGTTCAGAGTTCCCCAGTTATCTCATAAATGTTCTTTAACGTCAGGATCCAAATAAGAGTCAATCATTGTCATTGGGTATTGTGTCTCTCAGATCTCTTTTATTTATTTATTTATTTATTTATTTATTTATTTATTTTTATTAATTAATTTTTGTTCCAGATGTTTCTCCCCCAACACACTGATTCCCCCTCCCCCTTCTCCCCTCTCAGATCTCTTTTAGTACGTGGGTTCTTCCACCCTCCCCACCTTTTTTCTTGCATTTAATCTGTTAAAGTTGGTCCTAGAGTTTCCTGTCATCAGCATTTTGCTCATTGCATCCCATGGCATCATTTAGCATCTCCCACTGACCTCTGTATTTCCTCAATTGGTATTTACACATAGAATCTTTATTAGATTCAGCTCAAATTTTTACAAGACTATGCCATAGATGATGCTGTCTGTCTCTTACAGGCTGCACATCACATCAGTTTATTTCTTTGGGGAACATTGGCAGCCCTTGGTCATCATTGCTTCGCGCGTGTGTTCCATAGCAATTGCAAAATCCTCCTGTTCCTTCTTCGGGTATTAATAGAAGACATCTATTATGAGAAAGTCGCCCCAGTTATCTCTTTAGCTACTGGGGCTGGGTTTTGTGCTCTTTACTGTTTAGCTGACAATTTCCCTGGTGTTCCTTCAGGTCCTGTGTAAATGGTACCCTTGTGTGCAATACCACCCAGCTGTGGCACGGCGATAGAATCCTATGGGGAAATAACCACTTTTTTAGGTAACGTCTTTGTGTTCACTCATATTCTCATATACAGTTTTTTCTGTTATCTGAGTACAAAACAAGTTGAGTTTCTCTAATGGTGAAATACCCCACAGAATTAATTTACCTAAGAGGAAACGGCGAGATTGGTTGAAAGACCTCGAGAAAGAAACAGGCCCTCCAGAGCATGACCTGGACGCAGCCAGTGAAGCTTCTTCGGAACCAGACTATAACTATGAATTTGCACAGATGGAGGTTATCATGAAAACACTGAATAGTAATGGTAAGGCCCCCTCTTCGGATTGCTTTGTGTTGGGCAGTTCCTTATCTCATAGCATTCAATGAGGGATAACTATGTACGAAGTTAATGTACCATTCTGAAAATTTAGACACATCAAATTGCGAATTGCTTAAAAAGGTCATAAGTGAGTGACTAATGGAAGTATTCCAGGGCCTGGTCGGCTTCCTCAGGTGTAACCAGGAGGAGGGTGGAATCTTTTTCAGATCTTGTTCCTAAGCTAGTTGTAACATTTCCATGGTCTTAGACTACTGCGTGATTGTAATTATCGAATTTCCCCTTGTTGAGCCTGTCATTTCTGAGTCCTTCAGACCATGAAAAAAAATTACCAGGAGAGTATTAATCCAGGAATTTAAAATGGAATCTGATGGCGAGATAAAAGTCAACATTTTACTATACACTCAATTGGACATTATACCCCCAAAGAGACTTATTTAAAAATACAGTGATACCTCGGTTCTCGAACATAATTCGTTCCAGGAGGATGGTCGAGAACCGAGGTATCACTGTAATAGCTGAAATAAAAGGTTTTCTAGGCTCTTTGCTTGACCTGCACTCCAGCCTGTCTCAGATCTTTAAGGAAGAGATTCTCCTTAAAGCATTATTTCTGGATCCCTCTTTTCCAGAGGTTTTCAACGATTGTATTAAAGTTCTTTTATGTCTAAAAGTAAGTCCTTTACCTCCTTTCTTCTTCTGTGTTCATACACACTTTTATGAGTTCAATAAAATACGTACCAAAAATTTTCCTTGCTTGCTACTTTATACATCTGCTCCTTTTCCAATCTCCCAGTCTTCTTTTTTTTTTTTTTAATAATTCTTTTTTTTTGTATCCTCACCCGAGGACATTTTTTCATTTTTTATTCAGATAGAGCAGAAGGGAGAGAGAGGAAGAGAGAGAGAGAAACATCGACGTGAAAGGGACACATCGAGTGGCCGCCACCCGCACAACCCAACCAGAGCTGGGGACAAACTGCAGCCGAAGTACACGCCCTTAGCGGGAACCGAACCCGGGTCTCTGTGGACCGCAGGTCGACACTCTGACTGCTGAGCCAAACTGGCCAGGGCCCATCTCCCAGTCTTCTAATCACCACACTTAGAGCCTGGGAACTAGATGCAGGACAGGAAAGTTCTCCTACTATGCAGACTGCATTTCTAAGACCAGAACTTGTTTACAAGGATATTGATTGTTGAGGCTACTTCCAGGAGCACCTGAGCAAGTTGGTATCTGGACTTTGTCCAACCTCACTTTCCCATTCATCTGTTCTTCGATATGTGAGGGTCCCTAACTTGAATGAGGGGGGCCTCCAGCAACCCTGAGAGCCCTATAATGGGCAGCCTCTACCTTATAGGGTGCTCAAAGAGTGTTTTGGTTTTCACAGTCAAACTCTTCCCTTAAATATTTACTTTCTCACTCTTCTCATTGAAGAAGCGTATGTGGGGAGAATTTGAATTGTTGGTCAGGTCTCTGGCATATCAAATTGGAGATTCTGTTGCAAGAATAAAGATTTTGATCTGTGGCCCTGGCTGGGTTGCTCAGCTGGATGGAGCATTGTTCCAATATGCCAGGGTTGTGGGCTCAATCTTCAGTCAGGGCATATACAAGAAGCAACCAATGAATGCATAAGTAAATGGCACAACAAATCAGTGTTTCTCTCCTTTCTAAAATCAATCAATAAAAAAAAAAAATTTTTTTTAAGATTTTGATTTTTCTATTTATCTCTATGTATGGATTTTTAGCTTCAGGGACTTCTCTTTTTAATGATCAAAATGAGGTATGGAGAAACAGGTGTAATGTAACAACAACAGAAAAGGAGGAAAAAATAAGTTCATGAAAACAGTTCAGTAATTTCTTGTTCTAAACATTGTTAAGGTTAGGGGTTAAATTGGCTATTGGGGCTTTTGACATTGCAGCACAGGGTGGACCACAGCTAGAACTCAGGCTTCAGTCCACTCTGCTGCTTGCTCACCAAGGTGGGAGACTCGCAAAACACATTTCAAATTGACGTTCGGGCATCGGGATCCCATTAACAGGTCATTTCACAACATGCCTGAACAACAGCCTCCAATGGATGACTTTGGAAGCCTGGAGAGACACGGGTGTGACAGGAGGGTGTGAGCTCCAGACTCCAGGTGGAGGAACTCCCGTTCCGTAATTTGACAAGGTTACAGAATTCTGGAGGTTTCTATCCTCTAACTCTGCAGTGTCGAATCATGTATCATCTCATATCACAGATTTCTAATTTAATCCAGTTGCTACCTTCTTATCAGATACATAGCAAACCCCTTAATAACAAATAAGTATTTAGTAAGCATTTGTTAATTCCTTCCATCCTCTTAGCCAGGCCAGTCAGTCATCAGTGGCCTGGCTCGTGGCATTAACAAGTTACTCATGTGTATTCCAGATCTGGCCTTGCTCTCCAGTGTCGATTCTGTCTTTTTAAAAGTAATGTCTTCCCCTCCCCCTGCCATCACTTACCCACTTTCATTGGTATATGAAGCTTCCCTGTGGGTCACAGAGAAGTGCTCTGATACAAGCACTGAAATGCTGGTGGCTGGACAGTGTTCACGTGAAATCACCTCTGCTGCTAGGTGGCTTCCCGATAATAAGCCTGTCTGCCTGGTGGTCGTCCCCTTGGTGGTCCTACTTGAAGATTCTCTTTCCTCTCCTGTGGTTTCAGACGAAGCTGCTCCACAAACACTGGGATAAAGGTTTCACTGATTGGCATCAGCATGAGGGAGTTTGACGGGGTTTTGGCAGTGCTGCTGAGTGATGCTTGTGCTCTGTGCTTTGGGAAAAGCTAACGCGATTGGGAAGAAGCTGACCTTTGTTGCCTGCCAGCGGTACCCTGTATTCTTGATTGAGGAACGTCCCCTTTTCAGTTAGACCCCTGCCGGCCCACGTCCCAGCTTCACTGCCTTCCCATGGTTAAAATCTGGTAGCCATGCTTTTCCCTCTGCATCCCACAGCACAGAAGTGTCACGGGTGTCGTTGCTGCTCTTGCTGATGGCGTGACTGCTGTTGACAGCTCAGCAGTCAGAACATCAATGTCCTCCGACCACCACCACCAACACACCACTCTCTTTTCCATTCTTGGGACCAACAAGCAAATTTGAGCTCATTTCATACTTACATACCAGGAAACAATAAACTAATGAAGAGAAGTGCTCTGCCCAATGTCAGTGTGGTCCTTTTTCCCTTCCTAAAATACCAAACTCTTGGTATCTTGGCCTTAAGCGCCAGGCTCACCGAGTTTTAAAACAACCCATTCAAAAGGAGGAAAGAGAGAGGGAAGAATTAAAATGGTGGACAATCACTTGGTACTTGATTGGTCGTTTGAGAAGAAGCCAAATAATCATTGGCTTCTGTCCTAGGCCGTATTATAGAATCAGATTGACTTACTGATTAAGGTGGTCTATTAAAATAAAAAGGGGGGGCAGGGTAGTGATAAAGACTTGAAACTGATTAATTAATTTGAAAAGAAAATGTTATCAAATATATGTAAGAGAAAGGTGTTTCCAGACATGTGTTAGGTTCAGAAGTTGAAAGAAAATGCCCTCAGCCCCTGTACCTCTGCCAGGGCTGTGTGGGGCATGGGCGGACCCAGCGTCCCAGGCAGGGCTCACCAGGCCGTGATGGGGCAGGCAAAGGGAGGGAGGGCTCTGAATTCCATATCTGCACGTTGAATATGGCCACTGACAAAGCCTGGTGAGTGGTAGGAAAGCAGTTTGAACAGCCTCAGGCACATGCCTCTGTGTGGTGTGGAACCTTGGGGGGAAGTCCCTCTGCCTCGGCCATGTTGGGCCATGTGTGTTTCTGCATACCACCAACCAACAGGTAGAAGTAAACGTTCAATATCTTACTGTCCTGTAGCAAAAACCCTAGCATATAATTTTACAGAATGGTGTATTTTCCAGTTTTGTCTCTATAAAAGCTTCATAAACACAAAATTAGGGCTCATGAAAATAAAGCTGTGTATAATATAAATGGATTTGGAGGACCTTGTTCTTTACTTTTTAAACCTAAAATCTAAATAGGGCAATAATATATACTACTTGAGAAACATATTTTTTTAAAATCCTGAGAGAACTTTCCTTCTTTAGCCCTTAAAATTTCTTTGGACTCCCTCAAAAAAAATTATCACAATATTATTCATAATTTTTTGCAGAAGTTTTAGGGCTATGTCAGAAGTTGTAATGCTTTGGGGAACATAGATTTTCACTCTATAGGAAATGTCTTGTCCATTCATTGTCTGCCTTTGTGTAAGGTCTCTCTTTTTTTGGTGGGGGTGATGTGAGGGTGGTGGTGGTGAATTTTCCATCAGCTTTTCAAGTAACATATTTTTGGGACTCTATGTCAGGACACTATAAAAGAAAACCATTCTTCTTTGAAGAAATGCTGAATTTGAGAATTTTATATCATCAAAGAACAGTGTTTTTGTTTTTTTTTTTAAAATACAGTTTCAGGCAAAAGAAGGTTTACGTTGTGAGTTCGTGAAACAGGGTTTATTCTTGTATTAATATTAATTAATTATTATATTATTTTCCATATGAACAATTATAAACCTACATTTGCCCCATCCTGTATTCTTTAAGGGAATACTAATTATGAGCAAAACATTGGAGGTTAAAATACTGTATTAATTTATTACCAAGTTTGTGTTTACCCCAGCCAGTAAGCTCTGATCTGAGGTGAGATGTGATCTGAGGGCAGGACTTAACCTTTCTGAGCCCCCGTTTCCTCATCTTTAAAATGGGAACGCTGTCCCCCCTTAGGTTTGCTGCAAGGCTTTCACGACGTGATGCATGCACAGGGTATAGTCCTGTACTTGAGATATAGCCCGTAGCTAATAGAATTATTATTGACATTGTGGTTGTTATTTTTATTAAAACAACTTACCTATGCCGTGCATATCATGATATTTTAATTGCCTTCTACTTTTGGTTTTGTATGATTTAACCATATTTTTTAAAAGTTGCTGTGCTCTCATTTATTGCTTATATAGGAAATTAATACAGTGTACATATTTATTTCCCAAATGGGTAAGAGCCTTCTGGAAAAGTCTGTCAGTAGCTACCATTAGGTGTTGTACAAAGTCTTAATTCCCCACTCTTATTTTGGAAGTTAAGCTGAGTGAATATGTGGAAATACAACACAAATAGCACTAACAGGCCAGTGTGTTCCTGTACAAGGAGGAAATTAATTCCAGGCTAGGCTGAGAATATAAGCTCATCTCACCTAGGTCCTCTGTTCTTCAAGGAAATATTTATGTGATGATGATTTTCCAGAGGGTCTAACATACTGTTTCCCTGCAGTCTCCTCACTTAGAGATGCCAGGAACACTCTTCTTTGTACATGTGGTCAGTGCCTTCATCTTTCCCCATGGCTTTGAGTTCATTCGTCATTCCCAAGGGAATGTCCTCCTTCCGCCAGTGAGCTCTTCAGCATCAAATCCTGCCTGTGTCACAGCCGCCCCTGGTCCCAGCGTGGCCCTTCCGAGCACGACCTGCCAGCACCTCTCTGCTGTTCATCCGCGTGCATGTTGCTGAGCTCTAGATCTGCAACAGCAAAAGATCACAAAACTAGCCTTTTATTTTTGCAAGTGAATTACCCTCTTAGTTATTAGTGCCTGAGAAACTGCCAGACCCTACACTCAATCCGTATTTTTCCGTGATCTGTAAGTTTTGTTCCTCTCACATTAGAAATTCAGAAGTAGTGTGATTTGTGGTTAAGATTAGAACTATAAACCCTTTGTCATGTACCAAACACTGAATGCTAAATGGACATAGAAATTCATGACCATAACAATCAGATCGTGTGTGGCTGTCTGTGCCGTTGTCCTAGATTTCATGGCGTTTTTCTTCTCAGTGCCTAAGATCCCATCCCCTTCTCTTCTCTCTGCTTATAGGAGGTTAATGGTCTAGCTAAACATTAGGATGAGCTCATCAAATTGAAGAAAGTGACATGTTTACATATAGGGAATTTGTCTAAATATGGTAATGAAAAGGAAACGGTTTCAGCGGACGGGGCGCTCGGGGTCTCCTAGAACGCACACTGACAGTTCAGATGCCGGGGGAGGAAGGAGACGGTTCTTGCTGAAGAAGCACAGGGAGGCGCCTGTCTTAGGCACCACTGAAGACACCGTGCCTTGTCTCTTGGTTCACCAGACCCAGTTCAAAATGTGGTTCAGGTCCTGGAGAAGCAGTACCTGGAGGAAAAGCGAAGTGCACTGGAGGAGCAGCGGCTCATGTACGAACGGGAGCTGGAGCAGCTCCGCCAGCAGCTGTCCCCTGAGAGGCAGCCCCCGAGCAGCGGCTCCGACCGCCTGGCCTACAGCAGCCAGACAGCCCAGCAGAAGGTGACCCAGTGGGCAGAGGAGAGGTAAGAACGGGGCTTTGGGGGAGGGTTGTGAGACGGGTCAAGGGGGACAGCCGCAGTACAGAGGGAAATCGTAGTCCTACATCTAGATTGTTAGCAGTTGGCTTTTTTTTTTCAAGGATATTGTCCATCCTTGGTATGTTTACAGTTAGTTGTTAAAGACACCCCTCCTCTTCCCCTACAGTAAAAATGGTCCCAAGTTAGAAGGCTTAGACTGTTAGGTATTAAAATGGAGAGAGTTTAAATAATTCTTTAGCATAAAAGCCTTTCTCCTTATTTTTTATTTTTCTTACTTTAGATTCTACTTAAGTATAATTTTAGTGTTAAGAAATCTCTTGTGTGAATTTTTAAAAATTAGGACTTTAAAACATTTATCTTAGCCAAAAGTCTGGGAAGTGATGACTTGTAAACATTTATATCAGAACTGAAGTAGTGGTAGAAGAAATGGTAGTGATGATAATAATAATAATAACAACAATAAATTATTGCTAACTTCTGCTGTGTTCTTGCCACAGTCTAGACATGGTGCTGGTTTTATGTAATGCTCCCAACAGCTCTGTGCCATAGGAACTATTATCTCTGTCTTGTAGATAGGGAAATCAGTTTAAATGTTTTGACTCAATCACCCATCTAGTCAATGAAAAGCCCAGAATTTGCAAAAGCCAGGTCTGTCTATAGACCTGTTAATTACTCCTATGTAATAATAATAATAATTAATAGTAATAAGAGCAGCATCCTACATTTACAGACCATTTATCATGTCAGTCACTAAGTGCTTTCCATATATTCATCTAATCTTTATGTTTGCTACTATAATTTACCATTTTCTCCCCCATTTCACACATGAGGAAACTGAGGCTGAGCGGTTAAATGACTTACCTAGTCAGTCAGCTAGTAAGCTGGGCCAGTGGGCTCCAAGCCAGGCAGTCTGACTTTAGAGGTCCTACTAACTCTTGTGGCTACAATGCATCTCTCGCTAGCAAAGAGATGATTAAGTTGGGCCACATGCAGGGAAGATGACCCCTGAGAGCAGAAAAGGGGACCTTCCCCTGAATTAAAAGATTGTCATAGTAATGCACTTGATTATTCTAAATCTAGAGAAAAGAGTCCATTGCATTTTCCCCAGGAGCTGCTGGCTCATCTGTCCAGATACTGAATATGAATACTTATTTTACTTATATTGTTTTTTGTATTTTATTGTGCCTGGGTAAGACAGACAAAGGTTGGCAGATGATGCTTTTTCTAAGGAGCTGCCTTTTCCACATTTACTATGAGCTGGTGGCTTTACTCTAAGCAACAGCTAGCTGACGGTAATTGGTGTAATTGTAGCTACTGATATCGATATCCTTGCTATTTTTCCTCCCTATTTACTTTTTTAAGTACATAAGATTGTAAAAGACAGAAACAAAAGAGTTCAATAGAAACAGAGGAATGCTTTCAATAATAGCATTTTCAGTTAAATGGACATTTTTTCTACTCCCCCATAATTCCATAATGATTTTCATTGAGGCTCACATTCTTAAAAAGAAACAGAGTAGAGCCCTGGCTGGTTTGGCTGGGTGGTTGGAGCTTTGGCCTGTAGACCAAAGGGGTTTGATTCTGGTCAAGGGCACATACCTGAGTTGTGGGTTTGATCCCCATGACCAGTTGATGTGTCCCCGTCACATCGATGTTTCTCTCCCCCACCCCTTCCACTCTACCTTTATCTAAAATTCAGTGGAAGAATATCCTTGGGGTGAGGATTTTAAAAAGAAGAAGAAAAAGAAACAGAGTAGAAAGAATGACATTTTAAGAAATGGTTGCAACTATTGATTTCACTGGATAAAATTAAAATGTCAATAATAATGGGTCATTAAGAAGCTGAGACTCTTATCTAAGTAGATAATGATGGCTTATGAAATGTTGAAAGACTCCTACCTAAGTAAATGTTGACGGTTTGAGGATCAGGTATATTTAAGAGTTAGTGAGAATTACAAAGAAAGCTAAAGATGTAATTCATCCTTTCTTTACACTTATAATTTAGAGTAAGATGAAAATATGTGATAATCGAACCATAATATATTTAAAAAAGAGTTTCATTCAACAATAGGAAGTGCTATAATTATATAGTTATTTATTTGTTGTTTATCTCCTCCACTGGAAAATAAATGCTATGGGGCAGGGAGTCAGGTGCCTAGAACGATGTTGTCACATGATAGGTGCTTAGTTAAGTATTGATTGTGGGAAATAATTGAATGATAAGCAAGAATGTGATGGCCAGTGAGGACTGTGGTTGTTTAGTGGAGGATGAGACCCCATAAAGGTGAGTCTTATGCAGAGATTTCCTGGACGGGGAAGGGTTTCAGGTGAGTTTGAAGGTTGGAGATTAGGATAGTCAGAGAGAAGGTGGGAAGGCATTTTTTGGATAGGTGGGTTGTTATAAATAAATATGAAGCAACAGAGAGGAGTAAGATGTATTTGGGGGATTACTGAAGAAGTTTTGTTTAGTCTAGAAAGTGATTTACAAAAGAATAAGGAGAATTAAGTCCAAAACTCTTAGATAGGGTATGCAGGAGGCCTATAGAGTTGCCTTTTGGGATTTATCCTGTGGACAGGAGAAGGTTTTGCACAGAGGAGGTGCCCGTGAAAGGCAGGGGTCTGTAAGGACTGTTTTGTGGTGAAGAAGGAAGAGACTGGGTGCTGTGAGAATTTGGGGAGAGTATGAGGAACCTGCACTGGGGTAATAAGCAACATAGAAAGAGAGATTTAGGAGATGTTTCAAAGGAGGAATCCACAAGCTGTTTTCTGCACATTGTGGAAAAGAAAAAAGACTGATCTGGCTGAAAGTAGGCAAGCCTGAATTACTGGAAAAAAGATAATGTAATTTAGGAAAGGCAGGAAGGCATTGTCGATGCGTGATACATTTTAGGTCATTTTATTTGTTTGTTTATCATATTTTTTATTTTTTACTCCTCGCTCAAGGATGTGTCTTTATTGATTTTAGTGAGAGAGAGGGAGGGAAGAAGGGAGGGAGAGAGAGAGAGAAACATCAATGTGAAAGAGAAATATTGATTGGTTGTCTTCCATATGCATCCTGACTGGGGATCAAACCCGAGACCTGGGTATGCGCCCTAACTGGGAATTGAACCTAAGACCTTTCAGTGTAGGGGATGATACTCCAACCCACTGAGCCACACTGGCCAGGGCCATTTGAGGTCATTTTATATCAACATTTCTGCAGTGGGTTTCCTGTGTCATTTCTAAGGTGAGAAAAAAGTATAGATTTGCATATTCCAGGCTTGTCATTTCCCTATGAAGTAAGGGCAGGCAGCATGTAAATGGTAGAAAAGAAAAGCTATATAAGGCATGGAGCAATCTGCCCAAATTCAAAAGTGGAATCCAGATATACTCCTTTTTCATTCAGTGGTCAGGAATTCAGTGTAAAGACAAGCAGAAAAGACAGAGTCCCTACCCTAGGAGCACTTACAGCCTTTTAGGGGAGACAGACTTTAGTCACATAATTATACAAATAAGTGAAAAATTATAACTATAAGTGCTATTGCGGCAAAAAATGTGGGGCTAAGAGAACATATAATAGGGCTTTGACCTAGTCAAGATGTGAGAGAAACTTTTATCAAAGTGCTACTATAGCTCTGGCTGGTTTGGCTCAGCAGTTAGAGCATCAGCCCAAGGACCAATGAGTCTGGGGTTCAGTTCCGGATAAGGGCACATACCTTGGGTGCGGTTAGTCCCCAGCCCTGGTCAGGTCGTGTGGGAGGCAGCCAGATGTTTCTCTCTCTCCTCTCTCCCCTCTCCCTTCCTACCACTCTGTCTGATGATAAACAGAAAAATGTCCTCCGATGAGGATTAAAAAAAAAAGAAGTGCTACTGTGCAGAGTTGAAAAAAGAATTCCTGCTGCCACTGAAGTACCCACTTCCTGCTTTTTACCATCTGAAGAACTCATGTTCCCTGTAAAACACTTCCTTCTTTCTGACTCTAGATATCTTTCACCTGCTCACCTCCTTCCCCCACCCGGAAGCACACAAAACTCATAATCGTGCCTTTTCCTAAAGGATCCCTTCATTGTTTTGTTTTGTTTTTTTGTTTTTTGCATCACCCTATTAAAGTCTAGCAGTTTTCAAATGTTAATACTTTTTTTTTTACTTACATCACTTGACATATTTGCTCATCAGTGGTTACCAGCAATTGCCCACAGAGTCCTGGTGGGAAGAGGGAAGGATAAGAGGTGACTTGGTGGCAAAAATTATTGAAATCATTGCCCGACAGGAGTTTCTACTACTTTCTAATAATATGACTCACTTAGAAACCGATTGCAGTTTCCTTTTTGTTTTGTTTTGTTTTTCCATTTTCTCATTTCCTTTTCTGCTGTACCACAGGGATGAACTCTTCCGTCAGAGCCTGGCAAAACTGCGCGAGCAGCTGGTTAAAGCGAATACCTTGGTGAGGGAGGCAAACTTCTTAGCTGAGGAAATGAGCAAACTCACTGACTACCAGGTGACCCTGCAGATCCCTGCTGCAAACCTCAGTGCTAACAGAAAGGTGAGCACGTGCATTGGTGAACACAGTAAGATGACCGTAAACCTGACATCCAAGGTTACAGCCCCGAGGAGATCCTCGAGGGAGCCATAGTAATTCTTCTTAAAACTTCTGCCATCGACCTGCTCATGTGTCTAAGCACTTAGATGTGTTCTGATCAGAATATGGGAATTTGGGTGGACTGAAGGACTTGCTCATTTAAATGCTTTTTTAAAAAAACTAGAAATACCATGGATATAGACAACAATGCTGGGGACAGGGTGGAAGGGGACATCGGGAGGAGGGTGTCAATGGAGGGAAAGGAGAAACATCTGTAACAAAAATAAATTAATAAAAAAATTAAAAATTAAAAAAACTAGAAATATATGTATATGTGTGTGTGTGTATGTGTGTGTGTGTGTGTGTGTGTGTGTGTGTTTTCCCACCTGCTTTTCTCTTTTATATAAATGCCCCTTTCTGAAATGGGACATAGGTATATGTTTCATTACACTATCATTCTAAGAGCAAATTCTACAGGGAAGGAAGACTGGTATAATAACTCTTTACATACACAGAGGAACATTCTGCAACCATTTGGATGTTTCTCATCATTTCAACTTGAAAAAAGTTTTTCTTTAAAGAGAAACTGAAAAATAGTAGTTTTTACCCATTCATTTTTCCCTCCAAGAAGCCAGCCAGCAATGAGTGAGGGAATATCTCATCAGTCTTGCTGGATTTTAGTCATGTGACCAAGTGCTTCTCCTTTGAGAAGTGTATTCTAAGTCCATAGTCATAGAAATGAACTTAAAGTTTAATGTGCTTTTTGTATAAGGATGCTTATCATAGTGTCCTTTATGATAGCAAAAATTTGAAACAGCCATGATATTGAACAGTAGAATAGTCAAATGAGTAGTCTATCCAGATAACAGATTACTGTGCTACCTATAAAAATCATGTTTATGAAGATTAATGAACACAAAATTATCATAATATTGAAACTGTGGAGAGAATTGGGATAGGGAATTTATATTTTTGTTTGGTTCTGCTTGTGATAAAAATTAAATGTGTACCTGAGTATATTAAAAAAAGGGGAAATAAACCAAAGTAGTCTGTAGATGGTAGAATTTCATCTTCTTTTGTATATATTATTTTTTTTAACTTGCTACTTTACAATACTTTGTATTGTTTTAACAATCCAAAAAGTTGTAATAATGTTTGTTTTTGTTTTTGTTTTTATTTTTCTTCATTCTTGCAGAGAGGAGCAATAGTGAGTGAACCAGCTATTCAAGTGAGGAGGAGAGGAAAGGGCACCCAAGTGTGGACCATTGAGAAGCTGGAGAATAAATTAATTGATATGAGAGACCTTTATCAAGAATGGAAAGAAAAAGTTCCCGAGGTAAAAGAGAGAAAATGTCAAGGAGACTTGATCATGTTAAAAGCAGAGAACACAAATGATTTAATCATCACAACATGCACACACACACATGCACACACGCACACATACATGCACGCACACACGCCAGTGTTTGTAGTGGTGCTTGGACGTTTAGATTAGAAAAATTAAGTGCAAGTGATCTTGAAAGGAATGCTAAGTTGGATCAGTAACATGACATGTGTTTCCTGCACAGAGAGAAAGAAGGGAAGAGAACACAACATATTCTTACTTGGCTGCATTTTCACTACATTTCAAGTGAAATGTGTTGTGTTGTTCGTCAGTGTTGTGAAAAGTCAGCTGGATGGAGTCAGCATGGATTTTATATTTATTAGCATATGTTTATGCTCCCCTAGCTGGGATCAGGGCTGGGTGGATTACTAAGAATAATTTTAGAGGGTATTTTGGGGACATTCATCATTGAAGAGAAGATTCAGTGAGGGACATGAGGCAAAACACAGGGAATAAAATGAAACAGGCTGCAGGTGGGGTATGATAGGGAAAGAAGGGTCCTCTACACAGATATCACTGAGTTCCTCAAGTAACAGCCTGCTCATGTGCTAATTCTGTTTTATTTCTGTGATATCATTTTAGTTTTACTTTATAAATTTGTTGGAACACATGCTTTTAAAAATTTGTTAATGCTAGCTTTAAATCATTTTATTTCATTTTGATGTGTTATTTCTGTGTCTCCTGCCACCTGCCTCTCCTACCACTCAGGCAAAGAGACTCTGTGGGAAACGAGGTGACCCCTTCTATGAAGCCCAAGAGAATCACAATCTCATCGGTGTGGCTAATGTGTTCTTGGAGTGTCTCTTCTGTGATGTGAAACTTCAGTATGCAGTTCCCATCATCAGCCAGCAGGGGGAGGTAAGGACAAACCAGCCTCAGGGAGAATGATGGTGGTTCAGGTTTTGGTTTTTGTTTTTCAATTTAAGTTCTTGAGGTTGATTGTGAAACTAGGCAAAAGAGTCACAATTCTCATTCTTTTTTTCGTACTAATATCACTAGAAACTATCCACCTTAAGTCGTGGTTTTAAAAGATTATTGCAACACATGTTATGTTTGTGATTCACAAGTTTTTTCTTTGTTTTAATCAAATAAGAAATCTTGGTAAACCAGATTCTGCTCTGTGCCTGTATTTATTTCTTTTCATCTCTTACCTCTGTGATGCACTCTAGTTCCCTCCTGGCTCCTAAGTGGTTTTTACAAGATATACTTAAGAGGCTTATTTTGAAACCCAAAGTATTCAAAGAAAACAAGCTTCATTATCCCATTGTTTCCCCCCTTTTAAACTCTCACGTTTCAGTTATTTAGATATGCTGGTCCTATATAGGCCTAAGGTATTTCAGAAAGTGTTCGAGTTCAAACTTTTTTTCTTTTATACATTCCTTCAATTGATGCTTTAATTTTAAATTCAACAATACCTTTTTTCTTAGCTTGTCCTTCAATAACACGCAAGGTTATTTTTTGTGATATTTAGAACAGGCTTAAAATAGAATGGCATTCTGCCTAAAGTGAACCGAGAAAAATCAACCCTAGATTCTTAGTTGTGGTGTGTGAGAACACAGTCTACCTTCTACATGTTGTACCCCCCACCCCCCTGCACCATTCTGACCTAGAAGACCAAAGGGCAGGAGGTGCTTTCTCCCATGTTAAAAATGGGCACAACTCCTGTGGCAAAGGGATCCAGTGGCTGAGTCAGGGTTCTTAAGCGAGGGTCTGTGAAGGGCTTTAGAGTTACATGAACCTCCCTGAAAGCATGTTAAAAATTTGTTAGATTCTCTAAAAGCATTGAAAAAAAGCTTAAGAACCACTATCTTCTGATTTTTTTTATTCCTTCTCCTCCCCCTCCCTTTATTACTTCCTCATATTTGTCTCCCTCGTCAGATACCATCAACCACTATTTCTTAGGTTCCTGGCACCCGTGCACATTGCTGTGTGGGAGTTGGATCTGAGCTGCCTTTAAAAACAAGCTCACTATTTAAGATGACAGTGACTGCCAGGCATGTGTCTCCTTCACAACTGCAGTTATTGCATCTTTACCCTGTTTCACGAAAGATAAGTTGGCCAATTGCAACACTCTGAGAATGTGAATTTCAACAATTTTTATTTGGTTCCCTGCAGCAACTTTAAGAGTGATATTACTGAGCCCTGGCCGGTTTGGCTCAGCGGTTGGGGCGTTGGCCTGTGGACCAGAGAGTCCCGGGTTCAGTTCCTGCTAGGGGCATGTACCAAAAAAAAAAAAAAAAAAAGGGAAGCACTGACCAATCTCTTAAAAAAAAGGGAGGGGGGATGATACTACTGAACCAGCACCTATTCTGAGAACCACCAGGATCATGGGGAAATGTAAGTCTTTTTTTGGAGAAACCATTTTAAGGGAACCGTTTCTGTATAACATCCTGGCTGTGTATATGCCGTTTCTCCTGGAGTCGGTCTCACCCCTCCTGGAGCGTTCTTCTTGCAGCCCCAGTATGAGAGACATGCCCATTCTCTGCCCCCGAGAGAACAGAAGCTCCATGCACTCAGTGACCATGTCTGTTTGGTTTACTACTGTCAATACAACACTTGGCGCCGTTCCTGGCATGGTGTCAGTTCTTGGCAAATACTTGTTGAGTGGATAAATTGATTTCATAACAACTAGTACATTATCTGTGGTAGCAGCTAGTCTACACTGTTGGTTTTGGGTTTTTACTTCTCTGTCTTTCCCCACTTGGCTGAGTGCCCTGACAGCAGAGTCCCCATCTTTATCTTGGTATTCCCAAGAGGCCAGGTATCTGATCAAATGAGTAAGCGAACAAATACATGCATACATGGAAAATAGGTGCTCCAGGTAGAATATGATAGTGGCCTTTAAGCTGTCCTGTACCAGAAGGGTGAGGATGAAGACGACTGCAGAAGGCAGGTTCCCGGGAGGTAGATTTGGTTTAAAGGCAGGGTGACTAGAGGGGCAAGCAGTGGAAAGAATTGGCCCTGGGGGTGCTGAGTTTCTCCCGGCTGGAGACTGCTCACCAGGGTGCTGTAGAGGGCTTTCTCTCTCAGGTCAGGGTGGCCCACGGATGCCTTCTAATAGCACGTCCTCTGCTTCCTTGACCCAGGTTGCAGGGCGTCTCCACGTGGAAGTGATGCGCGTCACAGGGGCCGTGCCGGAGCGCGTGGTGGAAGACGACTCCTCCGAGAACTCCAGTGAAAGCGGGAGTCTGGAAGTCGTAGACAGCGGTGGGGAAATCATTCACCGAGTCAAAAAACTGACATGCCGGGTGAGAGGCCAGGGATGGGGAGGCTCAGATACATGTCTTCTTACTTCAGAACAACTTTATAGAAAGCTTTATGAGTTTTTCACAGAGCATAGTAAAAGTTAAACTTTCTGGCAGTAGATACAATGGTGATCAGGACTTGTTCCAGAAGGATAGCACACTGTCTGATGACAGGTGTGTGATATTTCAAAAGACTGTGCATTTGGCATGCAAGGAGTGTATGTTGTTTGGTGAATCATACTTTTCTAGTAAAGATTGCATCTGTATCAGGCACTCAGTAGGAAAATTTTAGAGCATTGTGTGTGTTTGTTGCCAAGTCTATATGCTGTAGTTAGAGAACTAGGGTGCAGATTTCATTACAGACAGAGCCCCTAATGAATGGTGCCAGATATTTTCAGATGTCAGCTGGATGGCTGATTTGTTTATGTCATCACTCACACTTAAATTTGGGATAGTTGAAATAAGAGAATGCATAGTTTAATGATTTCTTTATGGAAGTTATAATTGCATTTTTAAAAATCTGTTTCTTCAGGTAAAAATTAAAGAGGCAACTGGGCTGCCCTTAAACCTCTCAAATTTCGTCTTCTGTCAATACACATTCTGGGACCAGTGTGAGTCTACAGTGGCTGCCCCGGTGGTGGACCCAGAGGTGCCTTCCCCACAGAGCAAGGATGCCCAGTATAGCGTGACCTTCTCTCATTGTAAGGTACAGATGCCATTGTGAAATGAATTACATGGGAGGCAGCAGATCTACGTGTCATTCAAAAGTTTACTTGTACTTTAGAAGTTTTCCCCATAAGAATTTTTTATAAATGCAATAAACTTATCAGGCTTTTTAACCTCAGAATATTCTTTAATATAATTTCAAAAAGTGGAAAAGTATTAAAAATAAAATCTGAAAAACCTATACTCGAAATCATACTTCCCAAAAGTGTGATGACCAGTGGCTGTTAGCTACATATTTTGATAAACTATTTTCCTGTATTCCACAACTTTTATATGTGAGTGGTAAACATATGTTCATACATATAATAGGACATGAATACACACCCTTAAAGTCATGTACGCAACTCCTTAAGACACTTTTTTACAAAAATGTGATTACATTATACATATTGAAAAATTGCATCTTGTTATTTTAACATATGTGGACATCTTAACATGTAGGTTGCTGTAGATATTTTCATTCTTTTGAATATAGTATAGCATTCCAATGTATCCTATGAGTTTTGAAAGAAAATATAAAATGGAGAAAGTGAGTTTTTGATGAATAGTGCATGGACCTATTTTGAGACATTGGCTACCCTTCCTGGCTTTCACACAGGACTGCAAAGAAGTCATTGCTGACAGGCAGACTCCGTTTTCTGTGCAATTTTGTTTTTCCTTGAACAATCCTTAATAGATACTTTTCTTTGAACAATCCTTAATAGATACTCAAGACCCTTTCCATTATTTTTTTGTAAACTGTGCCTATTCCTTCTAGTTCGACATTTAGAAAACAAATCCATAGCACCACCTACAAAATTTCACATATGTAAATATTATCAAGACTTTGCTTTTCTGAAAATAAATAGCCCACATTGTTTACCTATTTTCACCAATCTGTTTCTCAGACTTCTCATTAATCATTTTTTGGGTTTGTATTCCCCATGTTTCTTTGGATCTGTAAAGCTGCTGTTCAGCAGGATGAAATCTGGATTTTAAGTGCATTCTGGTTAGCAGCTGGTTGAATAAATACTGGTCTCAGTATTTCAGAGCCCACAGATTCATTATGTGGCCTGGGGAGTTATTTTATCTTTAAAATGTATAGGTTATACTGATTGATCATTAAGTTTATTTTCCTTCTAAAATTTTTGCTCTGTCTCTAAATGAAATAAGTTAAACAGTGTAAAGGTAAACCAGAAATTGGAGTCACGGAATTGTCTGCACCCATGATTCCACTGAGCCACTCATGGAATGACAGTTGGCTTTGCTTCACACTGCTCAGTCAGTTCAGTATTCATTGCCTCAGTCATCTGTTTGCGTTTTAAATGAGGCATCGGGGTGAGAGAGTCTAAGAGCAAGAGCTCAGAACCACAACGACAATCATATAAAATTTAATTCTGTTATTTCTCTTCTACGCCATTGCAAGGAGCAATCCAAAGTTCAGTTCTGAGCCCGGCCGGTGTGGCTTAGTGGTTGAGCGTCGACCCATGCACTAAGAGGTCGCCAGTTCGATTCCCGGTCAGGGCACATGCCCAGATTGTGGGCCCAATGCCCAGTGGGGGGCGTGTAGAAAGCAGTCAATTGATATTCTCTCTCATTGATGTTTCTACCTCTCTTTCTCTCTCTTCCTCTCTCTCTAAAGTCAATTAAAAAAAAAAGTTCTGTTTTGATGTGTGGATCAGTCTGTGCTGAAAGTCAGAGCAGTCCTGTGGGGCTAGGAATGATGAGCCAGGATGGAGGGAACGGGCCCACTCCACAGATGGCAAGTCAGTGTCTTCACTTATAAAAGAAAGGGCTTGGGTTAAATCACCCTATAATATCACTTTCAGATTTAATATTCTGTGGTTTTTTGTTCGTTTTTTTTGTTAATCCTCACCCAGGATATTTCCCATTGATTTTTAGAGAGAGTGGAAGGGAGGGAGGGGGAGAGAAAGAGAGAGACACCCAGATTGGTTGCCTCCCTCATGACCCTGACCAGGGCCAGGGCTCGAACCTGCAACCCAGGTATGTGCCCTTGACCAGAATCAAACCCGAGACCCTTCAGTCCACGAGCCTACACTCTAACTGCTGAGTCAAACTCGCTTGGGCTATTCTGTGGTTCTTTATGGTTTTCTATAAAAAAGTAGAGATAGCTTTTAAGGTTGGGATCAGGTTAATATACTCCAAAGTGAATCTGTATACAGTTAAAAGGTAAAAAGGGAAATTTCACAGATTTCTTTATGCATAATTCTTTTTTTTTTTTTTAAATCCTCGAGGACATTTTTCTGTTTATCTTCAGATAGAGTGGGAGGGAGGAAGAGAGAGAGAGAGGGAGAAACATCTACTGGTTGAGAGAGACACATCAACTGGTTGCATCCTGCACAACCCTGACCAGGGCCAGGGACGAACCACAACTGAGGTACGTGCCCTTGCCTGGAATCAAACCCGAGACTCTGGTCTGTGGGCTGACGCTCTAACCACTAAGCCAAACTGGCTCATAACCAGGGCTTAGCATAATTCTTGTCGCTCTGTCTTTGCTCCCGTTCGCCCCAGGACTATGTGGTGAACGTAACAGAGGAGTTCCTGGAGTTCATTTCAGATGGAGCACTGGCGATTGAAGTGTGGGGCCACCGGTGTGCTGGAAACGGTAGCTCCATCTGGGAAGTTGATTCTCTCCATGCTAAGACAAGGACGCTACATGACAGGTTCGTACTTTCCTGTGAGCTTTAGACACAGGCCAAGACTAGTACTTGGACAGTGGTTACGAAAACGGATTCTCTGAGCCCGTTTTCTCATTGGTGAAATGAAAATGATAAAAGGAACTGCTGGACATCAAAGACATTCAGTGGGGGAAGGAAAGTCTTTTCAACAAACAAGACTGAAAAATTGCATATCGTTGTGGAAAAAAACAACAACTTTGATGTGTGCTTCACTGTACACACAAAACTACATCACTGTAAATGTAAAAGGTAAAGCTTATAGAAGAAAACAGGAGACTATCTTCTTGTAAATTTGATCTTTTGCCTCTGCTATGACCCAGCAAGTCCACTCCTAGATATTTACCCCCAAAAATGAAAACATAAGTCCACAAACAGATTTGTACACAAATGTTTATGGCAACTCTGTAATATCTTATAACTGCAGATAATCCAAATGTCCTTCAATGTGAGAATGAATAAACAAATTGTAGTATTATTCATATAATAAAATATTATTCAGAAATAAAAAAGAAAACAGACTATTGATACCCATTTGGCTGAATCTCAAAAACATGCAGAATCAAATAAGCCAGACCTAAGAAAGTACATACTAGTACATAATTCCATTTGTATGAAGTTCTAGAAAAGGCAAAACTAATCTATGAGCTTACATGGCTGCTGCAGTGAGGGGTGGGGATGGGGTGAATGGGAGGGGGCACCAGCAACTTACTGAGCTTATGGTGGGGTAACTTAAACAGGTGTATGCATTTGTCAAGACTCATCAAACTCTGTGCTTGATTGAGATCTGGACATTTCACTGAATGTAAGTTATACCTCACTAAAATAAAAAATAAAAATAAAAAGCCTACACCAGAAGGTTGCTTTGAGAGTTAAATAGAAAATAATCTATGCACCATCCCTAGCACAGTGCCTAGCACATAGTACGTTCTCACCGAATGGTGGCTTATGCCTAAGAGTGCCCCTGGGCAGTGAGATGTCGGAATGCGGTTTGCAGGTGGAATGAAGTGACCCGCAGGATAGAAATGTGGATCTCCATACTGGAACTGAACGAGTTGGGGGAGTATGCCGCCGTGGAGCTCCACCAGGCCAAAGACGTCAACACCGGAGGCATCTTTCAGCTCAGACAGGTACCAAGTTTGGTTGTTTCATGGGTTGTCTCTGTCCCACTCTAGCACACAGTTTCTGGAATTTTCTCATCATTTGCCTCTTTATTCCCTAATTTGTTTTCCTTCCTTTATCCTCTTCTCCCATCTCTCCCCATTCCCACTCACGGCACCCATTTCTCCGTCACTCCCTCATCGCACCCCCACCTCTATAGGGTCATTCCCGGAGAGTGCAAGTCACAGTGAAACCTGTGCAGCATTCGGGGACACTGCCACTCATGGTCGAAGCCGTCCTGTCAGTATCCATTGGCTGCGTGACTGCCAGGTCCACCAAGCTCCAGAGAGGGCTGGACAGTTACCAGGTAAGACAAACGGGTTTGAAATAGTGGTTAACAAAGGGTGGTTAATACAGAATTCAGGAAGTCACTGATCTATGCTTGGAATGCAATGGAACTCCTTCCTTAACCATCTGTTTGCCCCCCCCCCATTTATATTTTCACCCATTGACCTTTTTCTAGATTTAAAATGCTATATTGGCTTAGTGTTGATTAATAATTATTTTATTTATAAATACACATTTTAATGTTATAGTACACATTTACTTTAGGTGGGTTTTATTTTTTATTTTTTATCCTCACCCAAGGACATTTTTCCATTTTTTGTTCAGGTAGAGTGGGGGGGGGGGTAGAAAGAGAAACATCGACATGAAAGGGACACATCGAGTGGTTTCCACCCGCACGACCACCCACAGCTGGGGACAAACTGCAACTGAGGCATGTGCCCTTAGCGGGAACCAAACCCGGGTCTCTTGGGACCACAGGCCGATGCTCTAACCACTGAGCCAAACTGGCCAGGCCTTATTTTAAATAATATGTTTTAATTGCTTTTTTAAAGAGAGGAAAGGAGAGAGAGAAACATCAATGTGAGAGAGAAACATCCATCTGCTGCCTCCTGTACGCCCCCTACTGGGGATTGAGCCAGCAACCCAGGCATGTGCCCTGACTAGGAATCGAACTGAGACCTCTCAGTCAGTGGGACAACACTCAGTCCACGAGCCACACTGGCCGAGCTAGGCAGTTTTTATTTTATATCTGGCCTAAATCATGTTGGCTCTTTGGCATTGCTGCCTGGCCTAATCCACTTTTTTTAATATAAAACTACCCCCATATGCTGGCATATATAGTCAGCTCTTTGAAAGCTTTACCTTTTAAAAAAAAGTTGTCCTCCAGATCATTTTTGTCCATTAATTCTTCATTTACTAAATCTTCTGTTCTCATTTTTAAAAAGTAAAAGATAAACTCCTCTAGGAATTGATCTTCATATTACAGTCGACTCCTTGAAAATGAACTTTAAGATTAGGCAGTTGTGCCCAGGGCCCTGAAGGAATGCTTGTGCTTCCCCAAGCCCCCACTTTGCTCTGAGATGCATTGGGGATGGGAGAAACCAGACAATTAAATGGGGGCTCCCGCACTGTTTCTGTCATGACCGGTGGAAAGCACTTCTCTGTGGAGTCTGTGCATGAGCACAGTCCAGCAAGGACGATTCTTCTATCTGCATTTTCTTTTGGCTTCATTGCATCCAGGCAGACTCTTCTGGAAGCTAAAATGAACATAGGCTTGAACTCTTGGGCCTTAAGGAAGGAGTCACTTTGTCAGACACTGCCTTCCCTGTCTCAGGCCAGAATGTCCAAAGCCTGGGAGAATGGGAGTGAAGGTGTGGGCACAGTCTTCTGTAATTTTTTTTTTTGGCAGGGGGCGGTGTGTGGCTTTTCCATGAGACTTCTCTTTGTGTATGGAGTAGGAAGTTGGACTGTCTATATTTTCATCCAAGTTCAGTCCCTCACTTGGTTGTCACCTTTTGGGTGGCCTCAGGGCCTGGTAGAAACCGTTAGACTTGGAGTGGAGAGAGCTGGGTTCTCAAGCCTAGTTCCGATTTCCTGAGTGGTTACTTTGGGTAAATTAAACAAGTTCCCTTTTTCTCTTCAAAATGATGAGGCAGACTTAGTAATTCTCTGAGGTCCCTTTCTACAATAAAATTTTGTGGCTTAACAAGTCTCTTATCTTAGGTAAAACTTTGAATATGGAACATCAACTGACTTAATGTCCCATTTGAGAAACATTATAAGATTTGCTTATTTGCACTTTGTAAAACAGCTGTACCTCTTGAGTTAAAACTGATTTTTGTCAGACTTTGAGGTTTCAAATATCAGCCTTTCCCCAGTGTTAAATGTTCTTTAAAGAGCACAGTACCTGTCATGCAAATTTAAATTGTGGCTATTTTAAAGCTTTTACTTGCTTATTTACTTATTTTTGCTACCATGTTCGATCAAGGTCATGTCCAGTAACATTTGTTGTTGTTGACATAGAGCTTTATAACTGTTTTGAGTCAGCAGCTCAGGCCAATCCAGAATATGCTGATGTCACAACAGTTACCTATCATAAAAGCTCAACCCAGTTTTCAGTTAATAGAATTATCTCCTTTGTCTAAAAAATAATGATCAAGTATTCATTAATATGAGGAATTAATTCAAGAAAACTTATTTCAGTACTGGGCTTGCATTTAATGAATTACTTATACAACTGATAATGGTGGATACCAAACTAAAACAAAGTGTATTTTTAAGTCTATACAGAGAATAATTTTAACTGTATTTTTATTTTTATTTATTTATATTTTAATCCTCACCTGAGGATACTTTTTTCTTTTATCTTCAGATAGAAGGGGAGGGGGAGAGAGAGAGGGAAAGAGAGAGAAACATAGATGTGAGAGAGACCCAATGACTGGTTGCCTCCCGCACAACCCTGACCAGGGCTGGGGACCGAACCGTAACCAATGTACATGCCCTTGACTGGAATCAAACCCACGACTCCTTGGTCCATGGGCTGATGCTCTAACCACTGAGCAAAACTGGCCAGGGCTTAACTGTATTTTTAAAGCACTTTTCAGAAGCAGTATATTTTGAAGTATACTTAGATATGAAAATAAAGTAATTATATTTTTTAAGCACTTGAATAAAACAAGTTTGTCAGTTTTATGACTAGACCACTTCACTGCCTGTTTGAATATTAACCTTCCAATAACCATGGAAAAAGGAAAGAAGGCGGTTACATGACCCAGCATTCATTTTGAGTAGAATCTGCCTCCATATGAATGCACATTCTCTACCGATGGGAGTTTCATTATTCTTATTTTTAAGGAAAATTGTCCCAACTAAAACCCTTTTATTTTCAACACTATGATTTTGTTTTGCCAAATGTTTTTGCCAAAATTGTTAGTTTATATTATTACTGCAAAAGGTTGCTGTGGGTTTAACCCAGTTTTGATTTTTCTCAGCTGATCGGTATGGAAGCTGATATATACAATACTGGATGATGATAGATCCATATATTTGAAATGGTGGACTTTGCTTTTGTTGCAGACATCTCGTGCAGAATCCTGGTCATAGACAGCATAGGTTCCCTGGTGGGCTTTCACTGTGGTGGTTTTGTGGTGAGAGGGGTGTGGTGAGGTGAGGACTGGAGGCCTGCCCCTGCCATTATGTGTGTGACCCTTGGATGAAATCACTTCATCCTTCGGGGCCTTAGTTACCTCATGGCAAAAACTCAGAGGTCAAGCAGTGGAGTTTATAAAGTCTTTTCTCACTCATTCTGTCTTTCTAAGCCCACTCTAAATCTCCGTCAATAGCTCGTCCACAAATATAGAGCAGCCCTTTGCATAACAGTGCAGTAAGGCCTGTAGTCCCATCGAAGAGAGTTCTTGTTATTATTTTATTTTTTAACTTTTTTTCTTTATTGATTTTAGAGAGAGAGAGAGGAACGGAGAGGGAGAGAAAGATGGAAACATCAATGAGAATGAACATTGATTGGCTGCCTTCTGCATGACCCCCACTGGGGATTTGGCCACAACCTGGGCATGTGCCCTGACTGGAAATTGAACCGGCAACCTCTTGGTGCATGGGTCGATGCTCAACCACTGAGCCACACCAGCCAGACGAGAGTTCTTATTTTTAAATGACTCCTTTCTTTATTTTTTTAAAACTTAAATTCCTTAAATAACTATAGACAAGTTAAGCCCACGAAACCCTTTTGAGTTTCAGTTAAATGTTTTATGATACTGATGCTGTGTGTGCTGTCTGTTGTAATGTGCGTGTTAAGCTTAAAGAATTATTTTCCTTGTGTGCTGTTTGAGAAACAAAATGCATGTCCTTTGTGTTTATTTTTTTCCTGCCAGAGAGATGATGAGGATGGTGATGATATGGATAGTTATCAGGTATTGCTGCTGTCAATCTGTGGCATGGGGCACAGCTGCTGCTAATTGCCAGCACCCGCAAAGCAGAGGGCAGGGAGGAGGAAGGCGGAGCCAAGAGCAAGAATATGCAGTTTTTCACTTGCTTTTGATTTGCTTTATATGTAATCAAGGATATAATACTGCTTCTATAGATTCCTCTGTCAGCTCAAAATTTATAACCAAATACCGCAGTTTTGTTATGCCATCTCAAATTACTAGCTTATAAAGCCTTTCTAAGAAAGACCATTATCACTGTATTACATTGATGATCTTAAAATTGTGCAGTCATGCATCCATATCTTACATAGATTCTTGTCTTTCCTATGAGAAACTACACTTAGCTCCTTACATCCAAGAGAGGAGTATTGTTCTGATACACCATTGTCTTTTAAGAGACTTTAGTTGGATAAAAAAGTTGAAGACATTTTATGCACACAGTTTTGTTTTGTTTAGCCAGTTTTCTTCTCTCATTAGGGCCAAGCCTAGTTATTTATAACCTGGAGAATTTAAGTCTCAGCTTTTTAATTTGTGCACATGTGATATTTTACATAGTCATCACTGACTGGCCTAATAGCATGGAATGTGCGATAATAGCAGTGGTCAAGGCAGCAAACTGAGATGAACTATTTTGAGTTTGGTTCACAGTCTCTGGACTGATTTTCCACATAAATTTTAAAAGCATGTTTTCCCGGTGTGCCTTCCTATACTTAAGTGTGTAAGCATTGTAGGTAGAGCCCCAGAAGTCCGCAGGTGTCTGCTCTTAATGCAATGCATGAGAGTTAGACTAGAATTAAACAAATCAGAGCATTTTGAATAGAATTGTGGGTTTCTTTCCCTCCTCATAATTTTGCTAAGAAAGAGAACAAGCAAGCAAAAACAAACTGTAAGAGAAAGATCCCCTTGGATCTCAGCAACACCGTTAACTAACTCCTGTGGCTGTCTGTGTGCTTCCTGCCACATGTCCATGTGGAATCCAGTGGCTGCTGCTGGGAGTTCTGAGAGCATGGCTGACTGCATGCTGGGTTTTTGCATGGGAGACTTTTAGTTGGCCTCATGGTAAGGGCAAATTCAAAAGGTTCTCTGCTGATCTATTCTTTGCATTTCAGAAAATACATGTCATCAGGCCATTGAACTGTGAACTATGAAAATGCCTGTCGTTTTCCATTCCATTTGCTGTTACATGGTTTGGGCTCTGATCATGGTGTCCTTCAGCTTGGAATTGCAAATCCTTCAGATGAATAGCTACAATTTAAACACACCCACGCACACGCACATCATGTAGGAATCATCCAACTGCTGGTGTAGTTTGAGTCTCTCTTGCTTTTAGGTACAATTATCCTTTTGGAAATACAGGGGCTCTTGATTTCTGAAAATGGGATTCTCAATCAGCATGCAGCGTAACTGAGGCCTCTTTGCTTTCTTGCATATTAATCACATAGCAGTGGTCAATGGCCTTTCCTAATGAAAACTTTCTAATCAATGAAACATCTTTTTTTAAAAAAAGAAAGAAATACTAGTTGTCTATGCACTCTACCAAAAATGCTTTCCTTCCCTTGTGTCAGGAAGAAGACTTAAACTGTGTAAGAGAGAGGTGGTCTGACGCACTCATTAAACGACGAGAATACTTAGATGAACAGATTAAAAAAATCAGCAATAAAAAAGGTATGTGAGATGACACTCTTTCCTGGGAGTAGCTTTTTCACTTCTAGACGGTTGTGATGGGTTGCTTTTTTTCCTTCATTGAATACTTGTATCTTAGTTTTTAACCTTATAACAATTACAGATATTTGTGTATCATAGTGTACAGTGTTAGCTTAAGAAGGCACTGAGTTTGAAGTTATTAAGTTTTTATGAATCTCTGAGTTAATTGTGATATTGAACATTAAACTCAAATTTTGTTTTGATAAATGCAAACGTGGTCAGTACCATAGTCAATAATGAGGTATTTTAGGCTCGGAACTGACAGCAGCTGAAGGGGCACTTCTGAAAGCACAGCATCCGGCCAGTCAGCCCCAGCAGTGGTGGGGGGTAGCCATGCATTCAGCGCAGGCTGGCCTGCAGCTGCACCCACTGCGCCCCCGCTGCAGGGATGCGTTTGCTCGTGCTGGTGGCTGGCTGCCTCTGGGAGTTTCGAGTAGAAATATGCTCTTAAAACCCTTAGCCTCGCCCTGGCCACTTTGGCTCAGTGGTTAGAGCGTCGGCCTGCGGTCCAGAGAGACCCAGGTTCGGTTCCTGCTAAGGGCACATACTTCGGTTGCAGTTTGTCCCCGGCCCTGGTTGGTCGTGTGGGTGGCAGCCACTCGATGTGTCCCTCTCACATCGATGTTTCTCTCTCTCTCTCCCTCCCACTCTATCTGTACGAAAAATGGAAAAATATCCTCGGGTGAGGATAAAAAAAAAAACCCTTAGCCTCTCATCCTGACCTTATGATCTACTCATTGTGGTTGATTCTGAACCAAAGGACAGATCACAGATATTAATCCATTTTATGAAGACGTTAGCAACCCCCCCCCCCCAATAAAACTCGGCTCAACGTTCTTGGTGTCAGTTTGTGTATGTGTTCTGCCTGCTAGTGAAAACTCACTTTGACGATGCCCAGGTAGCTCCAGAGTTGGATTATAGGTAAGAGGATTTCAAAACATATCAAATAAAATCTCTCCATAATGAGCACAAAGGAAAATAAAGTTAGCGTTGCAGAGTACAGTGTATGGTGTTCTTTACTCCTTTGTCTTTATAAAATGGTGTCTAGTTTTTATAAAGCAGTGTCACATCCATCATTTTATTTGATCGTTCCAACAAGTGCATGAAGTAGATACAACTGGATTATCCCCTTTAGACAGATGAGGAAACTAGACTCGTGTTGAATCACTTCCTCAAATTACAGGACCAGTAAAATAACCCAAAGCTTCTAATCCCTGTTCTAGTGATCTTCCCACTCCTGGCTTACGGTTCGTTAGCTCGGGTCATAGCCTCTCCGAGCCCACTGGGTGCTCAGGCTTGAACTTCGATGCCTCCCATCCTTTGTCATGTAGCACATGTTCAAGCCATGTGTGGATAATACCACCAAGTCCTCATCGGTTTCAATGTGGAAATTGTACCTTCTCCCTTCTTGGTATTCATCCCCTCATTTGCCCCACAGAGAAAACTGAGGATGACGTGGAGCGGGAAGCCCGGCTCGTGGAGCAGTGGGTGGGGCTGACGGAGGAGAGGAATGCAGTTCTGGTGCCAGCGCCAGGCAGTGGGATCCCCGGGGCGCCTGCCGACTGGTGAGTCCACCCTTCCTTCTGTGCAGGCCTGACAGGACGTCTCAGATGACCTGTGGCAAGAGTCACACAAGTGACTTCCCAGGATTATCACAGGAAGTGTTCCATGAGCTGCCCAGGGGAGGGGCGCCCATCTCTAGTGCTGCCTTTCTGTGCCCCACCCCCCTCGCCACCTCCTCTCACAGGAAGCCAGAGAGCGTTGGTGCCCTGGCCAGGAATCCAATACCACACTCCTCTGTGCGAGCAACCTGGATATGGGTTTCTGAGCTCCAGAAATTCTAGTTTGGCTCAAAAGAAGGGTGTTTCCAGGGTGTGATTGGAGAGGGCGGAAGATGTATCTAAACTACAATCAGTCAATCGATTGCTGTGTCAGTCCTCATGCTCATAAGAAACAGGGTGATATCCTAGACTCTGCAGTCAAATAGATCTAGATATAGGTTCCAGCCGTAGCTCTCAAGTGTTGTTTGCATAACTTCTCTGAGGCTTTATTCCTAGTCATTAATGGAGCCACCTTTCTGGTACTATGGTAAAGATTAGAGATGATACACAAAATACCTTATTTATAGTGCCCTTTCATTAAGGGTAACTGCTGCTGCTGCTTGTTTTCATTCAGATTGTAAGAGTATGGCCTAGGCATTTAAAAGAAACCAGATTTCTTTTTACACACAACGTACATGCCCAGATAATCTCTTAGGCGTGGAAACATTAGTGATGTTATTGGTGACTATAATGATAAATAGAAGTGTACTTGATTCCATGGTCTTGTGTAACGAGAAAATCTGAATTTGCAGGCACATCGTTTGCAACCTGATGTTTCTCCCTGCAGCGTCTCCTCTGTGCTGGAGTCCAGTGGGCCACATGCAGCCCGTGGGCCGTCCACTTACGATAGTCAGCTCAGTCCCAGCTGTGTTCCGCTCTTTGAGGTCCCCGCTAGATGGTTTTACCTCACCTGTAAAATGTAGAGTTCTGGGTCCCCTTCCTAATTATCCTGACTTGGAAGAAAAAGGGTGGGCCCAGGACTTTCATTTTCAGAGGCCCCCAAGCTGACTCTGATCCAGATGGGCACGTTTTTGATAAAACACTGCTTTGGGTTTTCCTGCACACAACTCTACCTCCTCTCACACATCTTTCATTCTCTTCTTTTTTTAAATTTTTTTTCTTTATTGATTTTAGAGAGACATGAAGGGAGAGGGAGAGAGAGATAGAAACATCAATGAGAGAGAACATCAATTGGCCACCTCCTACATGCTCTCCACTGGGAATTGGCCCACAACCTGGGCATGTGCCCTGACCGGGAATCGAACCGGCGCCCTCTTGGTACATGGGTCAATGCTCAACCACTGAGCCACACTGGCCGGGCTCTCCTTTGAGTTTTGAATATTGTCTCTTTTGTTTACTTCCACTGGTTTTTTTATCCTGTCCCCTATTCCCATTTTAACAATGTCCTATTTCTTTTTCTCATCACTAGGTTTATTTTTAGAAAGCCTTCAAATAATCTGTCTCAGTTAATTACATGTAATTCATATAACTGGCATTTCATTATATATATAATTTACATATACATTCCCATGGAACGTCAAGAAATGTGAAAATGTTTCATTAATGGAACTGTATCTCCACAGTAGTTCCCTTCTGTACCCGTGCCTTCTGTGCTGTCACATTACCTAACAAGATGTAAAATATTTGGTTATGATTAACTTTTGTTATTAAATTTAGGATCCCTCCCTCTGGAATGGAAACGCACATACCAGTTCTCTTCCTCGATTTGAACGGTAAGTAGACCCCTAACCTTCTAGGGATTGTCACATTTAATTAAGGTTTGTGATCTGTTAGGACCCACATGATTATGATCTTTAATCACTTTTCTATTTACTCATATGACTTATCTAGGTGACATTGTTGGTCCAACCAAATATATATGGCCATGACATGTAGGATCACCAGAAGAGAGATGTGGATATTTAACCTTAAAGAGAGAGCACTTGGGAAATTGAGAACTTCATATGGAAACATTAAAGCAGTTACGGCTCTGAACTCTTCAGTCTTTGCAAGGGCCTAGGCATCTGCATTTCTTTTTTTTTTTTTTTTTTAATCCTCATCCGAGGACATTTTTCCATTTTTTGTACAGAGTGGGAGGGAGAGAGAGGAAGAGAGAGAGAGGGAAACATCGATGTGAAAGGGACACATCGAGTGGCTGCCACCCGCACGACCAACCAGGGCCGGGGACAAACTGCAACCGAAGTACGCGCCCTTAGCGGGAGCTGAACCCGGGTCTCTCCGGACCGCAGGCCGACGCTCTAACCGCTGAGCCAAACCGGCCAGGGCGGCATCTGCATTTCTGACTGGTGTCCTTTGCCCCCACTGCAGTAGTGTTGATGCCAGAACATGATCACACAGTCACCCTGCATTGAGGGTTGTCCTTTACTATAGCAGTTAGATCAAACCCAGGTGAATCTAGAACAGTGGTTTCTAATATGTTTTATTAGTAAAATTCACTTTCAGAATGAAATCTCAAAGGGAACCCCATGTGTAGAATACAGAAGTAGAGTTGCTGAGTGTGGGACAGGCTGGCTCTGGCAGGCCCCTCTGCAGGGCCCTGTGGTCCTCAGCACACCGCCTCTCAGCGACCAGTAACGGAGGGATGGAAGACATGAAGAGATTGGCTTTGGCTCTTTATTTTTTTTAATCTATTTTTTGTTTGTTTTTTTATCCTTACCCAAGGACATTTTTTGCATTTATCTTCAGATACAGTGGGAGGTAGAGAGGGGGGAAGAGAGAGAGAGAGAGAAACATTGATGTGAGAGCGACACATCGACTGGTTGCCACCCACACGACCCCAACCAGGGCCGGGGACAAACTGCAACCGAGGTACATGCCCTTAGTGGGAACTGAACCCAGGACTCTCTGGTCCGTGGGCCAACGCTCTAACCGCTGAGCCAAACCGACCAGGGTGGCTTGGCTCTTTATATGAAGAATTTTTTTTAAAAGGCTAGAAATAGACTGTACCTCAGGGAAGCAGTGAGTCCCCCATTATCAGAGGTATACAAGCAAAAACTGGATGACCACGTACAGAGATAAGTGAAGGGTGAATCCCGCTTTTGGTACAGCATTGGAAGATGATCATATATCTCTCAAGTGCTCAGAACTTTGATTCTAAATTAGTAACTGAACTTTTCAAATTTCTAATTTAGAGCAAGTTACATAAGTAGGACAACAACAAATTACAGGAAGAATTGATATCAGAAAGCAGCAAAAGTTTAATGTGTGTGTATGTAATAAAAATATTTGCTTCTTGAACTACATATAGAATAGATTCAGTCCATTTTGTAGGAGACTCACAAAGGCACTTTTTTGGCTCTATAGTTATTTCTGTAAAGGATAAAAAGCTGTTGTGAGTATTGGAGCCTCTATATCAACTTCAGGATAAGGAATGAAAGAAAAAAAATTAAATGTGTTATATGTAAACTTCATCTATTTGGTGTTTAATTAAAAACTGACCCCCCCCCCCAACTTTTGTTTCTGTGCCCTGGACTTGTTAGCGGATGACCTCAGTGCCAATGAACAGCTTGTGGGCCCCCATGCATCGGGCGTGAACTCCATCCTGCCCAAGGAGCATGGCAGCCAGTTTTTCTACCTGCCCATCATAAAGCACAGTGATGAGGAGGTAATTGACCCTTAAGGTTCTTTTTAAGGGCTTCAGACTAATGTATTTGCCTGTGGCCTGTTTTCCATTAATTTACTGTGCTCTGCTTTGGAGAAGAGGGCTGGGAACTTTAAAAAATAGAACTTGTGGATTGTCATTCAAAAAAGGTGAGGAAAAATATTATTCAGTCGAGTTACATTTCTTTTCTTTCTCTACTGGGTGATACAGAACTGCTCGACCTGACTTGTGACTTGCTTGCATCTTCCATCCTTCTCCCTTTTTAGGTTTCAGCCATAGCCTCTTGGGACTCCTCGGTGCATGATTCTGTTCACTTGAACAGGGTCACTCCCCAGAATGAAAGGATTTACCTGATAGTGAAGACCACAGTCCAGCTCAGCCACCCGGCTGCGATGGAGCTAGTGTTACGAAAACGAATTGCAGCCAATATTTACAACAAACAGGTATACAGGGCCTGGTTCTGCGGTTCCATAGATGAGCTTGAAGTTTTTTCCTTCTAAGTAGTGTTTGTGTAGTTAACACAGTGGACAAGCAGATTGTTACCACGCTGGCCATGTTCCAGTCTGATTCCCTTTATCCACAATGAGGGCTCTGAGGATAGCGGGATTATGTCACCCATAAGGGCTTTTCCACCGCGGCTGATTTGAGACCCGTAATTCTAGCAGAGAGTAGAGCTCTGAGATTTCACTATTTAAAGGGTTAAGCGCCAGATCCAAGAGAATTACTGACAAAACCAGGACAAAATGCAGGCTCCAAACACATGCCTATCCGAGTGCCAACCCTGCTCTCACCTCAGGAGAACTGTTGGCAAAATGGATCCTGTCCAGATCCTCTGACTGTGCCAAGATAGACTGATTAAACCCTGACAGCAAAGAAAGGCAGCAAATGGGAGAGAGAAGCAACCACACAAAAAACAAACAAACAAATAATCCCTTAATAGACTGCAAATTCTATAATCTGCCCAAATAACAACTGGACATCATTGTGCCTCGGGGACAGACACAATGATGTTTTTCTGTTCCATTTTTTTTTTTTTTCTATTTTGAATGTTGTAGCTGTACCAAATGCTTTCACAATTTATAAAAAATGAAATAACTTGTATTTCCACATTGCTTAATTCAGCTTTCTTTTTCTACCAGAGTTTCACCCAGAGTTTGAAGAGGAGAATGTCACTGAAAAATATATTTTATTCCTGTGGTGTAACCTATGAAATAGTATCCAATATACCAAAGGTAAAATACATATTACTTTTTTTTTTTAATCTTCACCCAAGGACATTCCTCCATTTTTTAGTCAGATAGAGTGGGAGGGAGAAAGGGCGGAAGAGAGAGAGAAACATTGACGTGAAAGGGACACATCAAGTGGCTGCCACCCGCACGACCCCACCAGGGTCGGGGACAAACTGCAACCGAGGTACGCACCCCTAGCGGGAACCGAACCCAGGTCTCTCTGGACCGCAGGCCGACGCTCTAACCGCTGAGCCAAACCAGCCAGGGCCACATTACTTTTTTAAAAGATCACGATAGAAGTAATGGAGAATGTTAATTCTTAAAACCATGCATTTTCTCACCACAGTTCTGATTAGAAATAATGTTCATACTGTCTTCTTGTCACTTCAGGCAACAGAGGAGATTGAGGACCGGGAGACGCTGGCTCTCATGGCAGCGAGGAGTGAAAACGAAGGCACGTCAGATGGTGAAACATACATTGAGAAGTACACACGTGGCGTGCTGCAGGTGGAGAACATTCTGAGCCTTGAGCGGCTCCGGCAGGCAAGTAACAACTACAGCGATGTCACCAGCCTTCATCCCAATGGACAAAGATGAATTGATTTATCAAACACCTTCTCTCTACATCTATCCAAGAAGGAAAACTTGAGTAGAGATCTCCTTAGACAAAATAGTTACTTTGACAAAGTAAAACAAAAATTCAAATAATGGCTACATTTTATTGATTTTTTTTTTTTTTTTGGTACATGCCCCTAGCGGGAACTGAACCTGGGACTTTTTGGTCTGCAGGCCGATGCTCCAACCGCTGAGCCAAATTGGCCAGGGCATGGCTACATTTTATTAAAGACCTTTTACTTATGCACTGTGACTAAGTCCTTTAGATGCATTAATGTATCTAATCTTCATGATAACCCTATGAGGTAGATGCTGTTATAATTCCCATTTGTAAATGAGGAAACGGAAGTTACCACAAGTCAGCTGGCCTGCCCAAGGGTACACAGCTAGGAAGTGGTATAGTCGGATGTAAACCCAGAAAGCTTGACTCTAAAGTCCATACGCTTAACCATATTCTATTACTAGTTCCCTAATTTTCAGATTCAGGTTAACTCTGGGGCAACAGCATGGCATTCAGGTGAAAATCCACTGGGTAGTGGGACTGTAAGACAGGACGTGTTGTTTCTTAGAAGCAGTAGTTGAAGTTATGGAAAGTGTGTTTTGAGCGACAAGAGGACTGAGATTGGCATTTGTCAGAAAAATCTTCTTTTAGTAAAGACCCACCTAAATTGCTGCGTAAGTAAAACACACAGCATCCAAGTTTATTGTAGTTTTGTGAGATAGATAGTAGGAGGTATTTCTTGTTTCCTCTGCTCACTTTTAAAAAAAATGTATAGCATATAAATGTCTTTAGTTCAGCAGTTTTCCTGGTTTTATTTATGAAAATTGTTTTTGACAAATTGAGCAAAAAAAGTAGAGGGTTCAAAAAGTTACCGGTTTTGTAAATCTGGGGGAGCAGGTGGCGTGCAGGAATGAAATGATCTTTACTTCTATATTTCTAAGTCATCCACAATAAACATATATTACTTTTGTCATCCAAGGAGCAAAATTAATGTTATTTTCGAATTTACAGGCAGTCACGGTCAAAGAAGCACTTTCCACGAAAGCTCGGCACCTGCGGAGGAGCCTCAGCACACCGAACGTGCATAATGTGAGCACACCCGCCGGGCGCGTCCTGGGTCTCAGAGTCGGCTGTGACACACGAGGGGACAGGGGGCTGGGCTTTATAGGTGTGAATAGGACATTCGGCACTGGTGTGGGCACCCCAAAGTGCCACACTTGTTCCTCTGATCTCGGGACGCACACCTGAGAACACCCCTGTGTAACATGACTGGGCCTTTAGTGGACTCTTACAAATACTAGACAGTAGAGAAAATGAAAGAGTGAGAGCTACTATTAGGAAATGTGTAGTTCTTATATTAAAAAGAAGAGTTAAGAAACAATGAGGGAAACATCTATCCTACAATTGAAAGAAAAAACACCTATGAAGTATTCAACCCTCCCCCATACACACATTACACTTAAATGTGACCAGAACTCTAGATCTAACTACTAATATTTCCAAGGGATAGAGGAAAATGTTAAATGACACCACACAGATTTAATTAGCACAATCCAGACTGTGGGAAACTTTACAGGAAGAATGACCTAGAGAAAAGGGAAAACATAAATTAAAAGAGACCAGATATATCCAATTGCAATGTGTGACCTATTTTGATCCGGATTCAAAATTAACTGTGAAAATATTTATGAGACATTTTAACACTGACTGGATATCTGATACTATTTAGGAATTACTTTTTAAGATGTGATAATTGTATTATGGTTATGGTTTTTAAAGAGGGAGGAAAAATTCCTAATTTTTAAGAGATTCACAGAGAAATATTTATGGATACAATTTTTTAAAGTTGGAAAAAAATCAGATTTTTTTTTAAAAGAAGGTAATAAGTATTAGAGCAGAATTATAAATTCAATAAAGAGGGAAATAAAGATCAGACAGAGGCATATCAAATAGAAAACAAAACAAAACTGAAAAGTGGTTATTTTTAAAAGACTGGTCAAATGGATTGACTTGTAGTTATATTGTTGGGGCAGAAAAGAAAATATGAGAGAAGATACAAATATTGGAAATAAAAAGGGGCTTATCACTACAGAGAGAATAGATTTAGACATCATAAGAGTAAGCCATGAATAATATTATGTCAGTAAATGTAAAATTTAAACAAAATGGAAATTTCCTGCAAAAAAAGGAATCAAGAAGAAATAGAAAACCTGGATCCAGCTATCACCACAAAGAAGGACTCAACTCATGGGGAGACTGTGTTAAGTGATGGGAATACACAATATCAAAAAATTGGCACATGTCTTAAACTGATCTATGAATGCCCAACATAATTTGTCTTACAATTTGATAAGCTGATCCTAAAATTCCTCTGGAAGAACAGAGCTCAAGGGGCACATACCTCATCTACAGCTAGAGATTCCATGCCTTAATATATGCTCAGAGATTCTCAGAGATACATGGGATGCATTTAGGACTAAAGGATGCTGAAATAATATGCATGTCAGTACTGGTACACATGTCAAGAGTGGTATTTAGGGGCAGCAGCAACAACTTTTATTTCATCATAGTTTATAATGAAAAAAATTAGAAGCAGCCTGGATGTCCATCTAGAATACGACAAATACATTATTAAACTATTGAGGAAGACCATGTGTAGTAAGACAAAATTTATATGAATTATAAAAATATGCAAAATAATGCTCTATGTTTTTTATAGGCATGTAATTATATAAAACCTATATGGGAATAATAAACCCCGAATTTAGGGTAGTCATTGCTTCTGGGAGAGAAGAAATAAAATAGAGGGGAGATAGATGGTCATACAGGCTTCACCTTTATATGTGACATCATATTTCTTTATACTTGTATATATAATATTTATGTTAAATATATAAACCACATTGGTAAAACTATTAATCTCTTATAGGTCTCCTCCAGTCGACCAGACCTTTCTGGCTTTGATGAAGATGATAAGGTGTGTACTTGTGAGCATGACTAAGTTATTAGCAGTCTCTAAATCTAGACAGTTAGGATGTCTTGGTGTTTTTAAAATTTCTGGACTTCCCATCTTAATGTTATACAGATCATTGTCTCCACATGTTTATTTCCAAGTTCAAATACTTGATGTGAAGTTGCTGTGCACTCTGAGTGTTACATTGTTACCTAGCATAATACTGCTTTCCGTAGGAGGATAATACCACACGTCATTGAACATCTGTGTTTATGAGTCTAAAGCTAAATGATTTAAGAAGGTGTTACATTCACCATAGCAAAATCACAATTATTTCAAGTGAGTAAAATTAGGGATTTAAAATGAAGGGCATTTGCAACATTATCTTATTCAGCAAACATCTCTTAACCACATATCATATATAAATTACTAAACTAGGGACCGTGGATTCAGATTATGTCCTCAAGAAGTTTAAAATTTTAGTCCTTAGAGGCAACTAACTCCTGAGAAGTTGAAGTAAATTAAATAAGCTTATATGATATACGAGAGGAGTTTCTCCCTTTAGGATACCAATATTTTATGCCAGTTTGATACTTTTAAATCTCAGGTATATTTAGAGTATCCATATCACCTAGTTTGCCTGGGGCAGTCCCAGCGTGTGCCTGCTACCCAGGAAAAATGATTGATGGAACCATTTCCCTCTAAAAAGTATTTAAGTTTGGTCTTTAAATTATCTAGTCTTCTTAGATACACATCAAATTCATGAAAGTGGCTGCTTCTGGGGAGGGAGGAAGATGAAGGGCACCTGTAGATCATTCTATTTGTAATGATTTTATTAAATCTTGAACAAATGCAATAAAATATTAAAATTTATTAACTTTAGGTATGCCTTGGGTATGACAGTATTTGTCGTATTTAGGACTTTTCTGTGTGTTTAAAATACTTCATAATAAAAACAGAGAAGAGTACATATTACCATTCCATTTAAAAAAAGAAAAAAGCTCTCAAATCTGGGCTTCATTTCTCATTTTAAAAGAACTTCATTACCGCTTAACCCATATTTTTACCTTGTAGGGTTGGCCAGAGAACCAGTTAGACATGTCTGACTACAGCTCCAGTTACCAAGATGTAGCGTGTTATGGAACTTTACCCAGGGATTCGCCTCGAAGGAGTAAAGAAGGTAGTGGTGAGATTGTTTTTCTGTGTTGTTTCTTTACACTTCCTTAGGAAAAGCATGGAGTAAAATTCTTTTATGGATGGCAAATAATAATACAGGAAGCTGAAATTCTGGTTTGCTAGATAATCCGAAACTGTCTTCTTGAATGGAATGTATCATGTTCTCTTATTTCATTTCTTTTTGCTTTGTATCCAATATACCATTCAAATAATAATAGGCCTTTTGTGTAACACTTTAGATAGTCAAATCATTTTTCATACATAATTTCCTGAGTTGGAAATCAGTTTTGAGACACACATGAATCTTATTACATTATGATTAGACTTCATTCTTCACCCAAAGAGTATCCACCTCTGTCATGTTTTGTACTCAAATTAAAGGATTTTGTAGAAGAACACGTCTCTAATTCCTAAAGCAATTTTTATTTATTTGTTTATTTATTTATTTTAAAATATGTTTTTATTGCTATTTTAGAGAGAGAGGAAGGGGAGAGAGAGAAATGTCGATGTGAGAGAGAAACATCGATTGGCTGCCTCCTGCACGCCCCTCGCTGGGGATCGAGCCTGTAACCCGGGCATGTGCCCTGACAAGGAATCAAGCTGGGACCTCTCAGTCCATGGGATGACCCTCAATCCACTGAGCCACACTGGCCCAGCCCTACAGCAATTTTTAAAAAGATACCAGAAAGGAATTTGATCATTAACAAATTTATTACCTAAATATTATAATCTTTCAGTGCCCTGAGGGAACAGGGGTCTGTGGATATGTAAATCAGCTCTGTTATCTTATACCTTGTATTTTACCTGAGGGCCATTGTACCAGTGTGCTGGGAGAATATGTGGGAAGAGAAAAAGAGGCCAAAAAATGTGAGAAATGAGTAAAAGCAAGAAAATTGTCCTTCCTCAGTTATATGGAGCAGGGTGGCTTAAGGAAAAAGGGGGCGTGCAAGAAAATGTATACAGGCCCCGGCTAGTTTGGCTCAGCAGTTAGAGCATTGGACTGTGGACCAGAGAGTCCTGGGTTCAGTTCCCACTAAGGGCATGTACCTCGGTTGCAGTTTGTCCCTGGTCCCGGTTGGGGTCGTGTGGGTGGCAACCGGTCAATCTGTCTCTCTCACATTGATGTTTCTCTCTCTCTCTTCCACCCTCTCTCCCTCCTGCTCTATCTAAAGATAAATGCAAAAATGTCCTCAGGTGAGGGGAAAAAAAAAATGTATACAGTATTCACTCATCATTTACTGAGCCTCTACTTGCTGTATGCAATAAAAGACACAAAAAGGTCCCATTTATTGATCTTAAAATCTAACTGTGGAAACAAAGTGCATAGAAAATTAGACATTAAATGATAAAAGTGCCAAAAATGCATGTGCAGATAATGGGCTCTGAGAATTCAGAGAAACAAAAGCAGCATGAGTCAAAGTTGGTCTGGTAAGTGACTCCTGAACTGGATCTTAAAAAGAAGGTAGAAGTTTTGGTTTCTCATTTCTTTGATGACTCTCTGTGACTTTGTAGATATATCTGCATTCTTGTCTACCTCTGTTTTCATGCTTAGCCCTATATTAGCATATTAATGTCTTTGTTGTAACAGATACTCCTGTGGTTAGGTTATGTCTTGCTTCCTGTGGGTTGGTTAAAGCGCTCTGTGCCTATAAACCTGTGTCTCTTTGTCGTCCCCAGGTTGTACATCGGAGAATCCTCATGCCTTAACAGTCAGCCCTTTTAAAGCATTCTCTCCTCAGCCACCAAAGTTTTTCAAGCCCCTAATGCCTGTAAAAGAGGAGCATAAGAAACGGCTAGCTCTTGAAGCAAGACCTCTTCTAAGCCAGGAGGTAAATGCTTGACTGGTTTGTACCATGTGAGATAGAAAAAGTCAATGGTGTTGCCTGTGGAGAAGTAACCTTTGCACTAACAAGTTGGATGCTGCATGTAGATACACGTGTGATCACTTCATGGATGCTCTTCTGGAATACCTCTTTCTCAAGCACACAGGGTCATGGTAGAATTTTTTACTTTTTGTAATTGCTGTTGTTTTCTTTGTGTCTATGGATTTTCAAGGTCTCTTTTATTTTTCAAGTGAGAAAGAGATATTCCCTAGGTGTTTTGAAAATATTAAAGGCTTTCTTTTTTTTTTTAATTTGATAAAACCAATTATGCTCTTTGCCATGGAAACTGTGTATAGTCTTGTCAGATTTCATTAGTTTAACTCTTGCCTACAAAATTGTTTGCTGCATTACTCACAAGTAATAAAGGTGTTTGCATCGCTTTTCTAACGTGCTTGAACTTAATGTGTATTTTGGCTGTCATCGTCTCCTGTGTGTGATGCATCTGTGTGTCTTAACCTTTGCAGAGCATGTCTCCACCTCAGGCACATAACCCTGGCTGCATTGTACCCTCAGGAAGCAATGGCAGCAGCATGCCAGTAGAACACAATAGCAAACGTGAGAAGAAGCTTGTAAGTTCTGGAACCATTTCTGTCATATTGCCTGGTGGTGGGTTTAAGGCCCTTTCACAGAAAATCACCCAAATACCTCAAAAAAAATTAAGATATGTGTTGGGTCTTTTTTTTTTTTTAAATGTGACCATAGGTAATGAAACTTTGCATGAATGTGCCGTGACCTGTGATTTTTCCCCCCCTAAGTAGTCATTCTATTTTATTTAATTTATTTATATATTTTTTGCTTAGTGTAAATTTGCTTAGAAAAAGGGAAAACGTACCTTTCATGATTCTAGACTTTAGAAAAAGGTAATAAAGAGATCACTTTAACTAATATTGAATCTTTCTGATGTGCCTGTACCTACTGGCCAGATTCTGAAGTTAATCTACCTAGAGGAATTGCATTTACTTGGAGTAAGTAATCGTACACTTAGCGGTGGGTATGTTTGCAAGCTTTCTTCATGTTGCTCCATGCGATTGCCAAGAGTGTTCTGTAGTTTGTAGCCACACTGCAGTCCATCGTCGCCGTCATCGTCGCCGTCTCTGCATCCCAGATAGCCTTTGTAAACTCGCTCGCTAAACACATTCCACACCCCTTCGTATCAGTCCTGCGTTCAGGACGGCTTGTCTGTACTGTACTACAGGTAGGCTGAAACTCTGCCTGTGAAATCTCATTCCCCGGAACTTGGTTTACAGATTACAAATTTAAGGAATCGTTTTCACAACACTGTGTACCAGGCACTTCGAATTATAAATGCGACCTCAATTTAAAAAGACGAAAACGACAGTATTCTCAGACCTGGAAAGAATGCTCTCATTTTGTGTCCAGGCCGTCACTCTCACGCAGCTTTTCCTAGACTTCGGAAAAGTACAGCAGCTTGGAGCGAGGGGTCTGCTTGACGCCGCTGCTGTGTGGGGCTGCTTTGTGGGCAGAGTGGGGGAAGTTTCCTTTCCCAGCTGCACAGCGTCAGATCCATTCCAGAAGCTCATTACGTGAGGTCCTTGAACGGTTCGGGGATATGCTGCTAATACACACCGTGTGAAACGGACTGGTTCTGGATATGCACTTGGCCACTCTGCTGCATGTTTGGGGTGCTGGTGGGTCTTAGGAAATGAGCTTCTCATTCCTCCTGTGCACTGAAGGAAGGAGAAAAAGCACCATTTCCCCTCACCTCTCTGTCCCTCTCTGCTGCCTCTGCCTCTGTGTTCTCCCTGTCACTCTAGCCCCAAATCCCCATCCTAATTCCTCCTGGAGAGGAGAGTGCACAATAGCAGCTGCTCCTCCAAATCCTAATGAGCTGCTCAGTCACTTAGTTGACCACCCCCTGCTTAATTAATACAGGCTGCAGCATGGGCTGGAAAGGCCAGGTGGCTGCTTTGTTACCCTCAAATTCTCTGGCGCTATGGCTGATTGGATCTGTTTGTTGACATGGCCCTTATCACCATAATGCACAGGCACTACATTTAAACTCATTTTAACAATAGGTAATCTTTGGTAGAACACATTAAAAGACAGCTAGATGGATGCCCTGGCTGGTTTGCCTCAGCAGTTAGAGCGTTGGCCCGAAGACCAATGAGTCACAGGCTCGATTCCAGTCAAGGGCACATAACCTAGGTTGCAGTTTGATCCTAACCCTGATCGGGATCATGCGGGAGGCAGCCAGTGTCTCTCTCACATCGATGTTTCTCTCTCTCCCCCACCTCTCTCCCACTCTATCTGAAGGCAAATGGAAAAATATCCTTGGGAGAGGATAAAAAAAAATTTTTTTTTTTTTAAAAGGACAACTGGATGACTCTTCTGGGCTGCCCAGTAGATTGTCTCACTGTTTTCAGAGTTTGCCTAATAGTTATTTTCTATACTTTCAGTATTTTAAAATAAAACCTATCTCCAGAGTTCTGACTAGCAGAGGGTAGGATGGAACCAGATTATCTTGACCCAGGAAGTCCCAAGCAGCTGTTAGACTGCACGTAATGGAACACACCGGGTAGTCCACTAAGCAGGACTTGACAGTACCGTTTCACTTGGATTGGCCTCTACTCTCCTTAGAAGTCTGGCTCAGAGCATCTTCACCTCCGAAGCTATTCAGTGGTTTGATTTATTTCAGGTGGCAGCTTTTCCGGGATGTTTTGGTAGATTTTAAGGGTATTACTTGCTCAACCTGAGGTACTAGTTTCTCTTTAGGGAGATTTAATTTTATTTCTCCCCTTATAAATGGATATAAACTGTTTTATTCCTTTGTTCCTAATTGACTTTCTTTTTCCATCCCTGAAAAGTCAGAGAGTGTGTCCTTGGTTCATTCTGATCAAGGAAGTTTTAAATCATTTTTGAGAAGCAATATTGAGACATTGTCCCTTTTTTTTTAAGCTCATCTAATTACCAAAGTAACCCATAATTTCACATAAAATATAGTGAATATAGCTATGCTTGGTCCTTTAGAGCAGTATTTTATCGTTTAATACATGTACTTCGTGTTTTGTAGGACTAAGATAAAGGCAACGATAGGCATTTGGAGTCTATCTAGGTCATGAAGCAGAGAGAAGAGCAGGAAAAAGTCATTATTCCCTCTCTTAGATCTTGCATACACAGCATGTGGTTTATTTCTCTCATTTCACGTAAGAAGAAACGAAAGACTTGTTGAGTGACTTGCCCAAGGTCTCAGAGTCAATGAGTGTAAGAACAAATGCTCTATCCCTCAGCAGAACTGGGCTAACCCCAGTGACCCCAGAGAAGGTGCAGTATCAGTCATCCCTCTGCTGTTCTTCTAGAAGGGGCCGCCCACCCTTTAGCACCATGGACAGAAGTACTAGGGGCCCTTGCCTAACACAGTCTTTGAAAACAGACCATCTCCCCAGTGAACAACTCAGACTCAGTTATAGTGGGAGTGAAAATGACTTTAACCAAGTGAATCTCCTTGCAGAGTCCCTGCTTTATGTGGGTTTTGATTCCTTCTTAAAATCAAGGTGTTTTTTTTTTTCTATAGATAAATATCAGCTGCATAAAATAAATTGCAAAAATCAAATTGTGAAGACTAGCTATAGAGAAGCTTGAGAACTTGATTCTATGATCCACTTTTAAGTAGAGTTTTTATTCTTTTTGTCTTTAAGACATAGTAGGAAGGTGCCGAGTTTAGTCTTCTTTAAGATACAATGGGTTAAAAAGTCTATGTCACCAAATTCCCTTAACATATAGCTTAACACAACTAAGTCCTCTCTTTTCTTTTTGAAGAAAGTAACTTGATAGACTTTCAGTCTCCTTTTACCTGTTTAAAAATATCCCACTCTACCTGGTTCCCTCTTTTCTGAATGAGCTGTCCCCATTGCTTCAGCCCTTCTTCCTCCACCCCACGTGCATAAGTATGTACTGAACCCTGTTTGAACTTAACGTCTTGGGGTTTTTGTAGACTCTGCAGTTTTACTAAAAGTCATTCTAATCCTTTAGAAATAATTTTTTAAATAAGTTTTTATTGATTTTTAGAGAGAGGGGAAGGGAGAAGGAGACATAGAAACATCAATGAGAGAGAAACAGTGATCGGCTGCTTCCTGCACGCCCCCAACTGGGGATCGGGCCCACAACACAGGCATGTGCCCTGACCGGGAATCGAACCAGTGACCTCTTGGTGCATGGGTCAATGCTCAACCACTGAGCCACACAGGCCTGGCTAAGAATAATTTTTTTAATCTTTGTGAGTTTGATAAATGTACACCTATTTCTACACATTAGATTTGTGATTGAATATTTCATTTGTTTCATTTTAGGATGACAGCCCTTTCCTCAAGCTTCAGAAGAAATAACTTTAGGCATGGAAAGGGCCCCAAAGTACTAATTCTCATCTTCAAATTAGTTTTCCTGGCAACAACTAACTTTTTAGTAATGCACTGCATCAGGGACTCCTGGGCTTGTGGAACTTTGTTTCTTGACTCAAGTCAAAAGGAAATATAAGAGCTAGAAATACTTGCCATTCAATTTTGAGTCTAAGCAAGTCAAGTGGAGAATCTAGAAAATATGGACAAAGGATACTGATCCAGACAATATTGTTCAATCTCTGCTCCTTTACAAACATTCCCCCAACCCTGTAGAAAGTACTCAACCCACTCATTGTTCAGCAATGCCACTTAATTGGAATTCAGCTAAAGATAAGATGGCAAGAGATTAGCGTTGCCAAAATATTTGTTTTGCTAATTTCCGGAACTTTATCATTGATATTTGATATTCACCTTTAATGACTAGCCAAGGAATTAAGACTACGGATGCTTTTAAATAATTTATATTCAAGTTATTTTTAAAACTAAAAAGCACTGAAGAGCAAAACTATTTTTAGGTATTTAGCATCTAATGTGATGCAAAAGAAAATATTACAGTAAAATTCAGTAGATGAAATTTATGTTGGTTTGTGGACTACCGACTGTTCTATCTGTGGGGTGTGGTCTCCCCTCCCATCCTCTCTGCCCCTCTCCCCTCCGGGTGTCTCTCTGATGAGCAAGGTTGGGGTTTTGGCTCCAGGAAACTTTCATCCACCTGGGCAGGGTCCAGTATAGTTCTAAGAACAAGGATCCAAAGTTGTAGCTCTCTGAGGGCAGGCACCACGCCGTGTTGCTCAACACTGTTTTTCCAAGTCCTTGGAACAATGGCTGGCACATAGTGGTGCTAGATGAACGCTGATTGAAAATCACATGTTAAAAGATAAAAGGGTTATTTGCTGTGTCATCAAAAATGTACGAGGTTAATTAGAAATGACTAGATAGAAATAGAATTTGTTTTTATTCGAATGTAAAATACCCACACGTTTTACATTGTTTTCCACAAAATATAAAAGAATCATTTATTGGAGAGAGAGTATAGGGAGTTGATAGGACCCACTTTTGCAGTTTACCAGTCATTACAGTCAGAATTCTAAAGCTATTTGACAAAGGAGATTTCTATTTAAATCTTATCATCCTCACCTTCTAGCCAAATCCTCTATCCATGCTTCTCAGAACCCCTGGAAAGGTAATTGTCAGATTGATTGTTAGTACTTTACAGCCTTCCAGTATTTAGTATAATACTGAGAATGGGCGTTGAGATTGTGTTCTTAGTCCTTTTGCTGTTGGGGCTTTGTTTTACTCCCTCTCTACCATAAAACAGCTCAGAAACATGTCACAGATGGCCTTCCCTATCCGCACTGTCCCCTAGGTGAGGACTGAGAACAGGTGCAGCAGCAGCTCCTCGCTGGCTGTCCACCTCTCATTTAACTAGAGAAGGGACATCCCAACTGAAGACTAATCACGAGTGACTAGTTCAGGTCCACTGACTTTATTCCATCCTTTTTCTTAAACCAGGGGAGGAAGAGTTTCTATTTAGCATGGAGTGAGTGCAGAAGAAATAAGTCTTCATGTTAGGAGATAATGGGTTTGTGTTTACAAATATCTGAGAATAACATACCTGTGTCCATAATAGGTGACAAGACTTAACCAAACTCAGAAAAAAAACAACAATATTAAATGTGAATGCCTTTAATCGTAAAGTATTTAAAATTTGTCTCAACAATACAGTTGCTATGAGGAACTAATGACTGACTTCTGCTTCATTTCTGTAGGACTCCGAGGAGGAAGAAAATGACCTGGAAGCTCTGAACAGGAAGCTGATAGGTTCGCAGCCTTATGTGCCGGTGGAGTTTGCTGACTTCAGTGTTTACAACGCCAGCCTGGAGAACAGAGAGTGGTTTTCTTCTAAAGTAGATTTGACGAACTCAAGGGTCCTGGAGAAAGAAGTGTCCCGTAGCCCTACCACCAGCAGTATTACCAGTGGCTACTTTTCCCACAGTGCCTCCAATGCCACTCTGTCCGACATGGTGGTCCCCTCTAGTGACAGCTCAGATCAGCTAGCCATTCAGACGAAAGATGCAGACTCCGGTGAGCATTCTGGACTATCACTTGTGCAGGATTACAGACCATCGTCCAACAAAGAGTTGGCAGAGCTAGAAAGAGGCTTGGTAAAAGATAAGGTAATTGTGGTGCCACTCAAGGAAAACAGTGCCTTAGCTAAAGGGAGCCCATCGTCCCAAAGCATCCCTGATAAAAACTCCAGAATATTCTGTAGGACTGGCTCATGCTCAGAACAAGATGCCTGCTCCAGCAAAGACAGCCGAGCTGCCCGGGAGTTCTGCCCCAGGGAGGTGACCGTAGAGCGCACCACAGACATCCTCGAGGACCATTCTTTCACAGAGTTTATGGGAGCATCAGATGGGAAAGATTTTGATGCTTTGACAGATTCTACTGCTGCCGAGATTTCAAGTAGGAAGAACCTGCCGAAGAAAACGGACGATAAAAGTGTCTCAGATGAGCCACAGGACCCTGGCCAGCTGCACTCCTTGGCAGAGAATGACCAGGTAATGAATTCCAGAGGCATTCCTTTGGGTCCTGTGCTGTCAGTGAGCACTCCTAATTGTGCACCAGCCCCCTTCACCTCAGTGACTTAGGACAGATCCATGCAGATGCCCCTGACAGGGAAGATGGACCCACCTGGGGACCCATATGCTGCCTCACGTCTGGATGTGGGGAGCAAGTCTGCATGCATAGTTTCAGAGTGGAACTAGAAAATACATAGGAGCAGTGGCCTTTACAACTGGTGTGTGGGTTTTGTTGAACTCAGCATTCATGTGGCTAAGGATCAGTCAGCCATCATGTTCATTCCCTGAGACATTTAACTCTGGTAGTGTCTACCTATTTCGTCAATTAGTGATTTCTTTGCCAGTTAGATACACCGTTATTTTATGTATCATTAAGAAATACTTCCACATCATAACCAGCAACTGTAAGACACAATACAATTTCAGAGATGTTAAATGGGGGGAAAATAACGTGCATCATAGAATTGATCGAGGGCTGTCATTAGGTGCCCACAGGATAAAGGTGCTTTGGGGAAGTATAGGAGAATTCCTTGGGCAACAAGTTGGAGCTTTGTAAGTTACCCAGGTTGGTTTATTATGTTTCATTCCTATATTGGAACAAAATGGATTTTTGCTAATATTCCTAAGGAAAATAGCAAATTATATAAATAAGAGATTATCTGCTTATGAGCGCTTTGCTCCTGAGTGCCACTACTTCTACCCATTTAGAGTCACTGTTTTGGTCCCACAGCCCAAGCTCAGCTGTGTAAGGGGTATGGGAGCCAGCGCTTAGCAGAACAACTTGCTGGCCGAACTAGACAGCGGCTTGAAGGATAAGATAATCCTGGTGCCATTCCATCTCTGTTTTGCTGAGGAAGTTACCATTTCAGTTGGGTGGATTTTTCCCACCCAAGTTTTCCATATTAGCCCTTGAATTTTCAGTGTGTGGCCATTTCTACAGCACACTCATAAACTGCAAAAGCCTAAACAGTGATCTTCTACATCAAGGAAAGGACTTCTTTCCCCAACTTAAGAATAATAATAAAGTTACTCATAATCGTTCTTGCCAACCAAACACCCATTGGCTTAAAAGTCTTCAGCTTCCTCTACACTGACCTTCAAGCAGAATCTGCATTGCTGGCCTACATGGGCATTTCAGTCCCTCTTCCAAGTGGTCCAAAAAGGACTTGGACAAGAAGCCTGAGGACAGTTCTTCATCCTGGAACAGTGCTTCTCAACCTAAATGTGCAATGAATTCCTTGGGGGTGTTGGGAGAGGGTGCCTCTTAAAGACTCCGATTCCCAGGAGTCCCTGCCCTCCACCCCTGAGATTTTACTTCAGTTGGGCTGAAGGCTGGGGGATAAGGTTTTCACAAACCCCTCTGCTGAGGAAACATGAGGCAGGGGGTCCGAGGGCTGCACAGTGAGATCCGCAGCCCACGGAAGAGGGAAGGCAGACAGCGCCCCCTCGGTCACTGCCTGGGTTGTTTGGAACCCGACAGACAGAGGAATGCCTGAGTTTTGCTTTTGAACTGTGTGTCCCTGCCAGAGATCTTGGCTTAAAGGTGAAATTTAGGAAAATATTTGTTGTGTTAGGGTAACGGTGATTTTGGTGACCTTTTTTCTTTTTCTTCATTGCTGTAGTATTTCTGTTATTTTAGTTTTAATAAGTTGTTTTGACACGGTAACAGTTAAAAATTATTTTGAAATACTGAAATTTGACCTTTGTTCTCACCTTGATATGACTTAGCATGTGGGCCCAGAAATAACACTTTTTTACTTTTAACTTTGGGTCTTGCTTTCCATTATTTTTTCTAGACACTTCACCTTGGGGCCACGTCCCTCCCTCGCATACTGTAAATTTTAGAATTGGGTTCCATCGTAAGCCGAATCTTGTGGGTCCCTTTAGGAAGAGCCCCTTGTGTGGGGGGTGGTCCCTGTGGGTGGGGAGGGGCGGTGGGGACCAGAGCTTTAACTCACTAGCCTCTGAATTCCAGGGGAGCACGACCTCGGCTGCTCGGTGAGAGGCAGCAGGCACTTCCTCCGCAGGCCCCAGCATCGTTGTCCTGGGTCTCCTTTCAAAAGCACCAGCCTCATCTTTAAAACATGCTGCGCCCAGTGGGACCTCAGACCAGCGTAGAGAAGCCATGCCCCTGGGCCACCACCTCTCCCCTCCTGAGCAAGAAGAAGCAGTGGTGCTTTGCCACCTGGGTGAATCGACAGCTTCTGCTTTTTCCAGAAAGCCAGAGACCCGAAAATCCTGGATTAATTAAGTGGCAGTATTTATGTTTGCACTTACTACACGCTGCACTGTGTAGAATCCTCCACAGATTCGAACAAACTTCTTCTTGTACAATTTTAATCAGTTCTTACTGTAGAACCTGGAGTCAATACACTAATGTGGTTTTTTATAAATAATATATATTATGTATATGAAATGTGTATCTATAGTATGTCTGTTCCAAGACAGACGGGACTGCACACTAAAATGCAGATAAAGTGGTTTGTAGAAATCATAAGGTACTGGACTTTGTTACAAAGCAACTTGGGCGATCTCATCTACACAAGCAGATGAGATGCTTTATTGCTTAAGAACGAGGTTGCAAATGCTTCTTTGCAGAAAAGGTTACAGAATGCCGTTCTTTATAACCAAAGAACTTCCTTACGACTGACCGCTGTGGCTGTCCACTCTCGTTTTCTGTGTACATATGTGTTTGACTGCAAGCTTGGTGCCATCTCCCCGTGGCTACCAGGCCCCGCGCACCGTTCTGTCCTGTTTCGTAAGCACACTGAAAACTCGCAGCTCTGTTCTTTGGTCTTCCACCTGGCCCGCCACCTGCTGACTTGACATCGCACTAGAACCGGTGACAGTGACTGGGGCTCTGCCTCCAGCATGTCTCATCCCCTGGTTCAGCCCAGCAAGGCAGGCAGAGTGCGGAAAGCAGTATTACTGTAAAAAACACGAGAACATACCAAGAGTTGGATTGGGGTGTGGGGTGGGGTGTTGATTTTTGTCTTTCTGTGGTTTTGTTTGGATTGGTGGTTTTCGTTGTGGTATGGTGTTTACTGTTGCTATCGTACTTAATTCTGGAAAATGCTGACGAGACGGAAGGAGCTGTCCAGCTCTCAGTGCCCACTTCACCGTGTTTGCGGATGACAGAATACAGATGACCCTGCTGTCCGTGTCTCCACGTGTAAAATTCTGCCAGTGGACACGTGGGAAGGATTGTGTGTGCAGAAGTTTTTACAAAGGCACTGTGTGTGCCTGTTCTGTAGATGCCTGTACAGCTGGTCTGGAGGGACAGCGGTTCATGTGTGAGGGAGAGGTGCACAGCCCGCGGCGCCTTGTCCCTTGAAGTTCTTAGCATCAGTAAGTGAGTGAGATATTGGAGACTTTAATGAAAAGCTGCTGTTCATGATTTTTGTGTATAGTGAGCTGACTGTAGTATTTTACTATTGTCTGTTTTAAAAAAGAAAAACTGTAATTTATATCCCCTTTCAACTTTATTGTATTTAATTGGTACAGATTGTGTGTGTGTTTTAGAATACAGATGGTCTAATGGAGATTTTAAAACAGCCGTTGTTTGTCTTTAATCCTCTGCCATTCGTTTCAGATCTGATTTTCCACATTTGTATGTCTCCTGTCCCTTAAACAAGAACAGGCACAGCCAACATTCCTTGAGGTCCACTATGTACTAGGCACTGTTCCTAACATATGATATTTATTATAGCCTTTCGTCCGCACAGCTGCACACGTGCAGGTGGTTGTCACTGAGTGCCTGATGAATGGAGCGCTGAGGGAGGTCAGAGGTTAGTGCCCGGGAGAGGGATTCCATTCACACTCCATCGGTTTCTCCTCCTCGCGTTCTGTCTGGTGACGTGCCGTGGGGTGTAAGCAGGGCTGTGGTACATGTCAAAGTCCCAGACCAACCAACATTGGTGGGTCAACTACAGCGGATGGACAGGGTGTGTGATTCATGGTCGCGGTGCTCAGACTCATTGCTAGAGCAAGTAGCGCCGCCTGCCATCCGTGAAACAGTAGCTGAACATAGCGTAACATGTAAGACTGATCTGCAGATGCCATTCCAGAATCTCTTCAGAACACTCTCAGTTGCTTATGATAGCCTTTCTGAAGTAATCAAGAATCAGATCTAACTATTCTGGACAGAAGAGTGACTTATATAGACTGCCAGGAAAAAGTGGAGAGGGGGGAAAAGCCCCAAACGTCTTTGAATTTACAAAATAGGGGTTGGGGTGATCAGCAGTTATGCAATACTTAAATAAACATTGACAGATACAAATACAGTTCAAGACAAAATGAACAAATTATCATTCCCTTTATTGGTATGAGATCAGTGGTTTTTGGTCATTGACACTGTCATTTGTCATTATGACTGGGAGAGCAAACTGGTTTTGGAACATATTTTATTGGATGGTTAAGTATAGGCAGGCGTTTAAGTTAATTTCCAGAGTACATTATTACCATTGTCATCACATTTGTTTATAGTTATTTGGACACCATTTGTCATAGCAAAAATATAGCCTTGTGTTTCTAGGGCACCTTCTTATGGGAAGAATAACTTTATAAAAATATCTTTAGGGTTAGGTAAGGGCACAGTGTAATTAGTGATTATTGTTGATTTGAGTACCACGAGTTAATTTAAGTTGAAATAAAACTTAGTTGTTATTTTTCGGATGTTCCAGGACATTTCCCCCCCTCTGGGGCTCACTGGGTGTCTCTATTGCATCGAGTTCTTAGAAACTGCAGCTCAAGAAGGTGCTTGGGTTGCCTCAGTCACTGTAATCTGAGCCCAACTGGCAGGAACCACCACCCCCAGGAGTTTACTGTAGGTGTTCTCAGCACCAGATTGTCCCTGAGAAAGGAACTCTTAACTCCTTATTGGACCCTATTCAGGAAGAGAGGGACAGGCTCATTAATAGAACAATGAATGTCTTTTAAAGAAAAAGGTAAGTTTTGAAATTGGAGCCACTGGAAGAAGAAAAGATGAACTTGAAGACAGAGAAAAGGCCCAGTCTGGTTTCATAGTACAAATCAACTTGACCCTTTCACAGCCCCTAAAACACGGGTAACTATTTGGATTTTAAAACTGGAAAACAGTTATTGTGCCTGAACCAAACCATTTAAAGATGTTCTTAGGTTTCTCTGTTACTGTTTGTCTTTTCATAGTCTAGCATGAGTTTGGAGGAATACCAAGCAGAGTCCATGTATTTTTCTTTGACTAAAATTTTCCGAAAAATACATCTGAGCCAAAGCCACACCTTCGTGTAATTGATTACTCACCCTTGTTGAATGAATCAGCAAAATCTTTACCCAGCGTGTGGTCAACCACAAGGAAGCCAAACTACTTACAAACACCAGCATTAAAATACTTCGCCACAGCGACTGCCAGGAAGAGCACTTCACCAGGCATAAGGATGTAAGATCTTAGCTCAGTACCACTTGCATCCATGGCTGACTTAATGATATGTAATGCCAGTTTACCCGCATTGCTGTCTAGTCCTTTAATATGTAGTGGGAAAGCTAGTTATTAATCGAGCATGGCAAAATGAATTACCCTTAAACTCGGCCGCTTAAAACAGCAATAAACATTTATCATCGCACACAATTTCTGCGGGTCCAGAATTCAGGAGGGGTAGTCCTAGGTAGTTCTGGCTCCAGTCGCTCATGAGGTCGCAGTCAAGAGGTTAGCTGGAGCTGCCGCTGTCCAAAGGCTTGAGGCACTGGGAGGGCCCACCACCTGCGGGTGCCCCCTCCTGCTGTTGGAGCTTCCTGGCCGTGCACAGCCCCCCACACTGCTGAGACCCCATGGTATGCCGGTCGTCTTCCCAGAGCCAGGGGTCCAAAGAGAGCAAACACAAGCCACGGTGCCTTCTAGGACCTGGTCTTAGAAGTCACACTTGGTCACCTCCACCACACTGCATTCTTCAGAAAAGAGTCACTAGTCCAGCCCCCACTGAAGCAAAGGGAATTAGCTCTTCCTTTTGCAAAAAGGAGGAAAGCCTAAAATTTTCAGACCTTTTAAAACCACCGTAACTAGTTAAGTTATATAGCTGAGGTGACGGGCCAAGGCAGAGCTGGGTGGAATTTATGGGTGAACCCAGGAATCCAACTTTTTTTTTTTTTTATCCTCACCCGAGGATATTTTTCCATTTTTTGTACAGATAGAGTGGGAGGGAGAGAGAGGAAGGGAGAGAGAGAGAGAAACATTGACGTGAAGGGACACATCGAGTGGCTGCCACCCGCACGACCAACCAGGGCCGGGGACAAACTGCAACCGAAGTACGTGCCCTTAGCGGGAACCGAACCCGGGTCTCTCAGGACCGCAGGCCAACGCTCTAACCGCTGAGCCAAACTGGCCAGGGCCCAACTCTTATTTATAAACAGTAGGGTCCAAAAGAAAGCCACAGTTCCATGGAAGAAAATGATATTGAGAAGAAAGTGAAAATTTGAGGATGATCTGAATGTGGGAGTCATAGCTGATAATCCAGCTGCCTCAATATTCCTAGTAGAGGTGAGTGATCAGAAACTTGATTTCCCTTTTTATAGTTATATTACCACATTTGATTCTTTTCAGATTTGCTTCATTAGAAGCACAAGCACATGAATATATTTGATGGTTTTGCTCAAAATAGAAAGTGAAACTTAGGAAATTCAAACAACACATCTTCACTTATTAAGGCAAGTAATTTTAATGATTGGCTTTAGAAATAAAACTACCAGTAAGAGTTTAGTTTTTTTGTTTTGTTTTGTTTTTGCTAAAGAGATCGACAAAGGTAGGATTATTTTATTATTAAAATGTGATATAGCCTGGCTGGTGTGGCTCAGTGAATTGACATCGTCCCATGGACTGAGAAGTCCTGGTTTGATTCCTGGTCAGGGCATATGCCTGGGTTGCAGGCTCGATGCTCAGTACGGGGTGTGCAGGAGGCAGCCGATAGATGTTTCTATCCCCCTTCCCCTCTCTCTCAAAAAAAATCAATAAAAACATGATAAAATAAAATAAAATGTGATATACATCCACTTGTCTGGAAATAAGCAAAAGGTTCAAGGCTCTTGAAGTTTGTAAAATGAAATTTTAAATCCAAAGTAGCATAACAAAAAAGAAATTTAAAATAAAGGGACTTGAAAACGAATAGTTTAAAAAAGGAAAACAGGTTAACAGAAGTATGTAAAATAGGCTGACAAACTTGGTGCGGATACGTAGAAAAGGGTTCCTGGGTAGTTTCTTCCTGTTTAAAATGCAACTCTTCCAGGTAAATAATCAGTCAATTCAAACCGAGCATGGGAGGCCTGCTCCCCCCCTCTTGGTCTGTCCCTTGATGCCCTGGCCTCCCGGATGGGTCTGGAAAGCACCTTGAGTGGTCCTGTCAGCCACAGTAGGTGCCTGTAGTCTCTTGTCCTCTGCTGCCTCCTGCTGACCCCTGGTTGAGGAGTAGCTTTTCTCATTTAATTTTGGGTCACGGACTTTAGTCCCTCCCAGCTTCAGCTACCACTGATGTCAGTAAGGGCCTGTCCTCTGAAACTCTCAGCAGGCCAGTGGCTCCCAGGAAGCTTAGCAAACTCCCTCTGCTGACCAGGTCTCCCTGCTGGCCTTGCACTGATGCTTGTCAGGTTAGCTCTGCCTGCCTCTGGCTCTCAGCTCCGGCTGCCCACCATGCAGCCCCTGCCCTGCCGCCCCTATAACATGCGCATGCGTGGCGGACCCTGGGCAGTCACAGGGACTCAATCCTTAGCTTTCTTCTGCACCATTCATGGGGTTTTCCAGGAACTCCATGCCATAAGAAGGACCAGCTGAATGCTTTCGAAAGCCCGCCTCTGTTCCTCATTCTACCGAAGCAAGGCCGACAGGGTGCCGACAGAGAGAAGCACAGCATCGGCCCAGGCACTCTCTCAAGTTCTCTCAGGCTGTCTTAGCCATGAAACAAATGTCTTTACCCCAGACCAAGACATGGGGTCTGGCCTTTTCTATGGACCGCAAGCATCCTCATCACAGTCCGTCCAAATCCCTGCTTCTTTGTGTCGCTTCTCTGGTCCCCTTTCCTGATTCCTCCCTTCTCCTTCCCTTTCTGTCTCACAGGAGCCATTCTCCACATTTTAGCTCGTAACAAAATTACCTTCAAGCTTTGCTGTCAACATATAGTGAAAGGCTTTTAGAATTAAGGAAACTGCTCCCATTCAATAAAACATGGCTCTTATGTTTACTTATTAATTTGATGAGGTCTGAAAGCTGAGCTCTGTTCTAGACAGTACCCACCACCCCATGAAGGAAGGCATGCCAGTGACGCAACGGACAGCCAGGACTTGTAGGCAGGAAAGATACTCTGTGAATTATAACAAATATCTCCACTCCTATTGCTTATTACGTGTAAAGGGTTTTATATTCATTGTCTCCTGAAATAATTTCAGCAACCTCGTTAGGTAGGTACTGACGTTACACCCATTTTGTAGTTGGGGAAACTGAGTCTTAGAGAGATTAAGGATTTGTTAGGATCACAAAGACCAGAAAAT